GAGGAGTACAAGTACCAAGAAGCAGAGAATGGAAATTCTCAAAATAAACTCAAATGTGTATTTTAAGGTCCAACACATGGTTTGAGAGTCACTGCATTGAGTTGAATACAGGTTGACTTTAGAAGAGTAGAGGAAGGTGGTTTCTGTGCAAAATAATGTAAAAATGACACGTTATTAAATGAATGTTTATCCTGATTTTTTGCTTTAGGTTGAGGGAACCATTAATGCTCACCAGAGAAAGGAGAGAAGACAAAACTCAAAAAAAAAAAAAAAAGCTGATGTCGACTGTAGTAAAAACTCAGGTGGATGTACACCATGGAAAAGGTAAAGAAAAACATTTACTTGACTTTTGAGAACTTTTCATTTAGAGTTAAATACATGAATCTACATCTTGAAAAACAGTCGCTAAAGATGCTCCTCACTGAAAAGGCTGATACCAGTCAGTGAGGTTGACACTTTTTATCAGCACTTATTATCAGCGAGGCTGTTGCTGAGAATGACTTGCATCTTGTAGAAGATGCTGACATACAATGATAAACAACAGTCTCCTGATCTGGTAAGAAGATCTACAGTCTGTATGGAGCTTTTCTGAAGATCCTTGACTTACTTGGTGTTTTCTTTTAGGACTGTTTAGGTGGATTTGCAGTCATTTCTATACAAAGAGATGACAAAGGTAGTTTTCTGTGTAAAATGATGTATTTTGTTATTTCTTAGGTTAATGTGGAAAAACGGACAAGGCGAAAGAGATATTATTGCTGCAGACTCTGCCCCCTACCAGGACAATATGGCCCGGTAAACTTTACTTATTTTGAGTGTATTTTCGTAACATTGTTTAAATTTCCTGTCATCAGCAATCTATTCCCTGTCAATAACACCTGTGCCATGAGTGATCAGATCTTGGAGCCTGGTCTCACCAAATGATGTATGAATAATAAATGAATAATACATTTTGTGTGTTATCAGTACACATGTTTTGCTTTTAGTGTGTCATTTCACAAAATATAATTTGTCTGCTAACCATTAACCACTAACCCCCTAACCCAAACAGCGCTACATGACACACAAAATCTTTCTGAATTGGGCGTGATATTTAAATGCAATCCCACATGTTCGGGTGTTTTTAAGTATTTTTGCTCATTGGCTGCTTTACGGTATCAGTTGTTTAGTGTGAATAATTGTTGTGCTTGGATTTGATGTCAAATAATCAACTCTCAGGACTGCCCTACACACCTTTGTGATGGTTTCTCCTTTATGTCAGCCACAAAAAAAATTGCACAATAGAATGGGTGTGCGAGACACACTCCTTTAGCTTGGCACTTTAGCCTGGCACTTTTTATCAGCACTTATTATCAGCGAGGCTGTTGCTGAGAATGACTTGCATCTTGTAGAAGATGCTGACATACAATGATAAACAACAGTCTCCTGATCTGGTAAGAAGATCCACAGTCTGTATGGAGCTTTTCTGAAGATCCTTGACTTACTTGGTGTTTTCTTTTAGGACTGTTTAGGTGGATTTGCAGTCATTTCTATACAAAGAGATGACAAAGGTAGTTTTCTGTGTAAAATGATGTATTTTGTTATTTCTTAGGTCTCTGTGGAAAAACGAACTTCAGAGAACAGAGATACAGATTCCACCGAGCCAGGAGAATATGCCTTCCCGGTAAACTTGACTTAATTTGGGTGTATTTTTCTTCTTTCTTGCAGTCACAACAAATCCCCCCAAAAGCTACATCCTGAAAATCATATCTAAATCATCCTGTGACTCATCTTCAAATTTCATTGTTTTTGATGCTCAGTAGCTGTAGCTGCCTGAGGTGGAGCTCGTTTGAACTTCTCCAGAAACAGTTCGGCAGTTTAGTCGAGTGGTTACCAACCTAGGGCTTGAGTCCCTCCAAAGAGTCACAAGACCTCTCTGGGCCTCAAAACAATTGACTAAATGAAACAATCTGAGCAGTTGAAAGAGGAAATGTCTCTTTGGTGTAACTGCCAACAAGTTACATCTGAGACATGACAGCACAACTAGACACTGATGTTTTGTTAGAGGTCAAAGGCCAAGAAGCTTGGAAATCACTGCTTTAATATTTAACAATGTGTTGCAGTCCATAAGCTGATCAGAAGTGATTTTAATGTCTAATTTTGACCTGACAAGTAACGAGTAACTAAAGTAACTAGTTACTTAAGCTCTCAATAAAAAGTACAATAGTTCCCTGTGGATGTAGAGGAGTACAAGTACCAAGAAGCAGAGAATGGAAATTCTCAAATAAACTCAAATGTGTATTTAAGGTCCAACAAACAACTCCCAGCCTCTGTAGTAAACTACCAGGTGCATGTGGACCCATGGAAAATTTAAGAAAACATTTACTTGACTTTTGAGAACTTTTCATTTAGAGTAAAATACGTGAATCTACATCTTGAAAAAAAGTTGCTAAAGATGCTCCTGACTTTAAAGGCTGATACCAGTCAGTGAGGTTGACACTTTTTATCAGCACTTATTATCAGCACTTATTATCAGCGAGGCTGTTGCTGAGAATGACTTGAATCTTGTAGAAGATGCTGACATACAATGATAAACAACAGTCTCCTGATCTGGTAAGAAGATCCACAGTCTGTATGGAGCTTTTCTGAAGATCCTTGACTTACTTGGTGTTTTCTTTTAGGACTGTTTAGGTGGATTTGCAGTCATTTCTATACAAAGAGATGACAAAGGTAGTTTTCTGTGTAAAATGATGTATTTTGTTATTTTTTAGGTCTCTGTGGAAAAACGAACTTCAGAGAAAAGAGTTACAGATTCCGCCAAGCCAGGACAATATGGTAAACTTGACTTAATTTGGGTGTATTTTTCTTCTTTCTTGCAGTCACAACAAATCCCCCCAAAAGCTACATCCTGAAAATCCTATCTAAATCATCCTGTGACTCATCTTCAAATTTCATTGTTTTTGATGCTCATTGTGGTAAAGATGGATAAAATCTCCCTGGAGCCATCTGTTCTTTGGTTAATACACTGAACATGTTTTATTCATAGTAATATAACTTTAGATATATAATGTGGAGACAAACTGGGAGAACCAGTTGAATGTGCTCATGTCGACATTTCACAAAAATAAAACTATATTTAACATGAACTCTGAGAAAGGGGATTGTATGTACATTTTTAGGCAGCTGTGTCTTTTTTCTTGTGTATTGAGTTTAAAATGATAAGTCAGACTTATAGATGAGTTTTGTCAGTTAATGATTGCTCATTTCTCTCTCTCTGTCTCTAGGACCAGTATTTTCTTGGCTTACTTGACTGGAGGACCAGAGTGCTGCACTTCTCTTTCCTCATATATCTGCATCTGCAAAAAAAAAAAAAAAATGCTGCATATTTTATTTTTAAAGTTACACTGTGATTTTCAGTGACAAAAACTTAATAATGCGACAGTCTAAAGGCTCTAAAAAGTAACTAGATGACCTGAACACACCACTGCTCATTTTTCATTAAATATCAAGAGCAGATATCTTTCACAGAAAATAGTGAATGTGCGAAAATAAAGAGTCAACAGCATTTGTTCACTGAAGTTACAGAAGTTAAATAAACTGCCACTGTGTTGAGGAGGGGAAGTACATTTGTATTATAGTGCTCATGAATGTGCACTAATTATTTATGTTAATGGTGAAGTGTTTGGGTGTATTCCATGTTGAGTGACAATTTGGCTGTTTAATATAGCTTTTTGTGTTTATGTGGATTTAAGAATGTGTGTTTTCTTGCATGTTCACTACATTAATCTGCATTATATTGAACTTAAAGTAGTAATTCATTTATTGAAACTGTATTGATTGCTTCTGCTCCATTGCTCATTGTTAGTTATTAAAGCAGTTTGATATCTGTTGGTTAAATCAAATTTTTTTGGTCTTCAGAGATACAGTGATGATGCGCACAAATGTCTGGTTTTGCCATGAAAAATAATGGCATTATCTATTAGTCCAAGTGCTGCATAATGTGACCACAAGATGGAGTCACTTTAATTTTTTTAACATCAATAGTTCACTTTGTTTGCTTTGGAAAGAAATAAAGAAATAAATATCCACAAGCTTCCATTATTGCACTGTGCACATTGTTATATGTAAGTACATGTTTCTGTCAGACTGCAACACAGAGATAAAGATTTTTTAAGTGTGTATGTGTGTGTGTGTGTGTGTGTGTGTGTGTGTGTGTGTGTGTGTGAGTGTGTGTGTGTATGTGTGTAGATGATGGGAGGAGCTGGTGAGTACTGAGAAAACAACAGACAAGGACTAGGATCTAGATGTGGTGGGAGATCAGGATGTTCTGGCCTATATGTTCTTTGGTGAAAACACTCAGCATGTTATATCATATCTCAAGTAGCCTACTGCACAATGTTACCACAAGTTGGAGTCAGTCAACTTTGTGTAACCATTTTGTATAATTTGTTGCAAACAAAATAAAGTGTTTGAAGTGAAAAGTGAAGAATCCCACTAAGCCTAGATTATTGATAGCATTTTACTTTTGACAAAATCAAAAAACAGTTGTGTTTTTTTAAATCAATGATAACCAACATCTCAATCTAAATATTTATACACTATAGGTAAAGCTGACTAATTGCGTTAATGCTTTTCCAGCAGCGACACAGTTTCACATATTCACACTGGGAGCTGCCCAGTATAACCAGGGCTACGGATGGGAAAGTGTTTCTCTCGCTGTTCTTTACGGACAGTGTTCTGCCGCACTGTAAAACATCATGCAGGACATAAGTGAATTTAACTAATTCTCAATAGTTCTCTAGTTCTCAATAACTTAACAAAAATACACAAGTTTAATTCATTTCAACTTCATTCAGCTCTAGGTTGTAGTTTTTTTCTCAGACCACTTCAGAACTTATAAACAGGAGTTCTCTGGACTGGTCACATGAAGAAGTGACTCATCAAACTTAGAACATTTTTTAACGGCCAACAAATCTGTGACTCACCAGATTATGATTCCACTGCAATTATTGAACTTATTTTCTCAAGTGCATTTCAGCTGGTTTTACATTTTCAACAACTTTGACCTATTTATTCACCCTCTGTTCAGTTAACTCATGTTCTCATGGCATGTGGGGAACCTACAGTATGTTTTTAAGCTGAACCAGCTTGAACTGATTTACAGTGTAGGTTGGCAAATTCTGTACTTTCCCGTATTTTGTAATGAGCTGAGGAGGAAAAACTGGTTTCTATTGCCTGACTACACAGTACACACTCTGTAAAATTCCTAACAAGATAATTTTGTGAAGAGGAGTTTTTTTCAAAGTCATTCAATGTTGGACTTCTCATAGAGTTTAATTCAAAAGTATGCAACCAAAATGTTGTAGTGAGGAAATAATACCATGAGGTTTACTTTAGTTTGTGGTGCTTGTACTTGACTTGAGTGTTTGCCACTTTTCTACACTAAACTTCAGTGGGAAATACTATTGTACAGCTGTAGTTGCCAGTTACTTTTCATATCATATTAAGATTTTACATAATACAACATATGATAAGCAAATGAAATATACTACATGGTTGAAAATGGACAATGTTGCAGAAATTTTACTTGCAATGGAGTATTTTAGTATTTGTTGATATGGAAGATTTACTAAAGGAAAAGATCTGAGTATATCCACCACTGATCATCAGTAAACAAGGCAGTTTCTGGTGCCAAGAATTGCCAGGGCCATGGTGCCCCTGAGTGGATTCATCTTACAACTAAGGGATATTTTACTTTAATTCAGCTTTATTCAACTTCTGCTCTGTGTCATGCTAGCCAGTGCCTTTAAATGCACATTAGTGTTCCTGTTATGGCTTCTGAAAACAAGAAATATTACTACTTCAGTCATATTCAGGGTGTGGAATATGTTCCCATAAGGAATCAATACACTTTCATTATCCGCTGGCATGCAGTATGTTTACTGGGGGTGTCAAAACAGGTATTGCCACAAACATTTCAGTCAAACATAATGTCTGTTTTGAATCATGGAAAAAACCGTTTTGCATCACCATGCACCCTCTTAAGTCCTTCCTCTTTGTTCACATGAAAGGGGTTGGTTGGCAGTGAGTATATAAAGCGCTGTGTGTTTCACAGCTGTATCAAACTCTTCAGCTCATCAGCCATGGACAAAAGCTTACTTGTGGTCGTGTTGTCTCTGCAGGTTTTCCTGCTCATCACAGACTTCACTTCTACTGATGCAGCAGCTCCAGTGAAAGATGATCAACAGCAACCGCCTCTTGATCTGGTAAGATGATTCATGCAGGAGCTTCTCTAATATTGTAAGATCTTTGATTCAAAGACTAAATAGTACAATATCTCCATGTGGAATGTAGTGGAGTACAAATATTAAATAGCAGAAAATGCAAATACCTCAAAATTGTTCTTGCGTGCACTACTTGTTTACATTCCACCACTGGTTTGGAGTCACTGCACAGACTAACACAAGTGAATTTGAATACAAGTAGAAATTAGAACAGTAGACTAAGGTAGTTTCTGTGCAAAATAATTCATAATATAATGCATATTTATGCTGATTTTCTCATAGGTAAAGGAGATAAGAATGCCCAAGAGGAAATATCCTAGAAGTGCATGGCATTGTGGTTTGAAACCAGGTGCATGTTCAGGCTTTAGACGGGTAAGAACAAATTTACTTTCAATTTTTTTTTTTCATTCACAGTAAAATATGTGAATCTATATCTTGAGAAACAGTTGCTAAAGATGCTCATCATTGAAAAGGCTGATCAGTGAAGTGTTTTGTGTTGATCTCACACTAATATCAATTAATTATTGTTTGTTTTGTTGAAGCCTCCCACTGAACCACCGATTAAACAAAACATGGAGAACACAAAGGTAATCTGAATACTAAAGGAAATTTACAATAAATGTTTTGCATTGTAAAAAAAAACAAATAAGCAGGACAGGTTTGTAATATCTGTGGTGCTGGATATTAGTGATTTAATTTTAATTCCTTAATCAAAAGTTTAAAGCTATAATCAATTAAAGGTAATGAACAACATTATTAATACTGATACTTCAGTGTTTTCTCGTCATCTTACTGGTGTAGCTGGCTGAGGTGGAGCTAGTTTGAACTTCTCTAGAAACAAACTCGAATGTGTATTTAAGGTCCACCACTGGTTTGGAGTCACTGCATTGAGTTTGAAGTGAGAAGAGTAGAGTAAGGTGGTTTCTGTGCAAAATAATGTGAAACAACGCATAATTAAATTAATCTTTATCCTGATTTTTTGTCCAGGTTGAGGAAATCCTTATGCTCACTAAGCAAAATAAACAAGAAAAACCTCAACCAAAATACCAAAGATTCCCCCTCTGTAGTTGGAAAATAGGCGGATGTTCAATCTTGGGAAAGGTAAGAACATATTTACTTGACTTTTGAGAACTTTTCATTTAGAGTAAAATATGTGAATCTACATCTTGAAAAACAGTCACTAAAGATTCTCCTCACTGAAAAGGCTGATACCAGTCAGTGAGGTTGTTTTGTGTTGATCACACACTGACATTAATTGATGATTACTTGTGTTTCTTCTTTCACAGGTTGAACCCCCCAAAAAGCCTGAATTGGAGCTCATAAAGGTAATCTGAATGTAAAAGCTAATTTATAACAATATACTGTATTGTAAAAAAACAAACAAACAAACAAGCAGGACAGATGTGTAATATCAGTGGTGCTGGAAGTGGACGAATGAGTGAGTGCTGCAAAAAAAAACAGATGAACCAACTAATGCCTCAGTTCAGCAGCAGATCTCAGATGGACTGCTCTTTTTCTCTCTTTACACATTCTAACTATAAACCCTCCATTGTTGGCTTTGGACAAACAAAGAAACCCCCACCTGTGCACTCAAGCAGCAGCAGTTCAGAAGAAGCTGACAGCTGCTTTGATTCATTTTCAACAACCATATTGATTGATTGACTTCCACAGAAACATGTTTGATCCATCACATTCATATTGAAATATTTATTCCTGCTCTCCACCTCACTGACTTTTCTCTCTTTCTTTCTGTCGGTGAGCAGAAGAAAATTTAAGACGCCAGAGCAAAGGAGTGAAGACGGACATGAAAACCTGCAGTAACACATCTTCTCTTCAAGGATGTTGCTCTGTTTATTATAACAGCTTGTATCTTTTGTTGACAATAATGATCTATCCCAGCATGAACTTTGCATTGTCTGTGCGAAGTATCTATACATTGTGCTAATATGCTGTAATTTCCAGCATCTACATTAATCAATACTGCTAATTTCAGTAGAGGTAAAAAAGTAGCAGCTAGCCATGAAATACAACATATATTCAATATTTCTGCCAGTTATCAGATATAAAGTTAGAGGTAGTTATGCTACTTTGCTGTCAGAGAGTATTGTGATAGCTATTTTTTCATGAACGCCCTACAGCAAGTTTAAGACTGCTATTTTATTTTAAATTGTTGTTCTTTTTCTCTTGTCTAAATGTTGAAAACAAGTGTTACTGTTAAAGTCATTAGTGTTTTCAATAAACGCTCCAGTGGAAATTCACATTTCATAATAATCCTGTGTTACCGTCTTGTCTCTAAATACACTTTGTGACCTCGCCTATATTATATCTAATTGTTGCTGACACTGCTCATCGGAGAGAAGGATGATGTGCACCTGATGGGAGGATTTCTCTCTCTACGCTGTTATTTACAAGAAACGACTATCTGTTAGCCAAGGCCAGGTCACTGGAAGATGATGCGTTTGAGTAACTGCTTATAAATACTGCTTAAATAGTTCAAACCAGTCTGCCACCTGCCTCAGCTGATTTGTCTTCTGTTTGTGCAGACCGTGAGTCTCATGTCTTACCTCTGTGTGAATAGACTGACCAACATGCATTTGTAAAGAATGCAATAAATATTCAGAGACAACTTTTCTTTTGGAAATCTTTAGAGTTTCCATGACAAAACTTCATCCATCCATCTTTGAAACTAATGATTTTGTGCAGGTTTGCAGGTGACTCAAGACTTCCAGCACACAATATCACACACAGTCTAATACAGGGCGGGCATACTCACATCCACATCTCTTATAGAGCACTGGTTCCTAACATTTTAGGTTAATCACCCCTTAAAACATTAAAATTGTGTGTGTGTGTTTGTGTGTGTGTGTGTGTGTGTATTGATTAGTGTACAGCACCATACACCCTCTAAGTTCCCTCCTCTTTGTCCACGTGGAAGCAGATGTTTGGCAGTGAGTGTATAAAACGCTGTGTGTTTCACAGCTGTATCAAACTCTTCAGCTCATCAGCCATGGACAAAAGCTTACTTGTGGTCGTGTTGTCTCTGCAGGTTTTCCTGCTCATCACAGTCTTCACTTCTACTGATGCAGCGGCTCTGGTGACAGATGATCAACAACAACAGTCTCTTGATCCGGTAAGAAGATCCATGAAGGAAGTTCTCTAATATTGTAAGATCTTTGATTCCATTTGTTTTCTTTTGTGTGAGTGTCAAACATGTTGTTGAAGGGGGGGGGGCTCTGCCGTGTGTTGATATTGTTCTGTGCGTCTTGGCAGTTTGAAGCAATGGTAGAAGAAGCATTTACATCCTCCACTTAAGTAAAAGTACCACTAGGTAAAAATAAAAATACTCTATTTAAACTAAAATTCCTGATGTTAAAATCCTGCTTAAAGTATGGAAGTATAAAGCTATTACCAGTAAAAATGCACTTAAAATAATAAATAACATTATTGATCCTGATACGTCAGTGTGTACACAACATTTTACTGGTGTAGCTGCCTGAGGTGGAGCTCATTTGAACTTCTCTAGAAACAGTTTGGCAGTTTAGTCGAGTGGTTACCAACCTAGGGCTTGAGTCCCTCCAAAGAGTCACAAGACCTCTCTGGGCCTCAAAACAATTGACTAAATGAAACAATCTGAGCAGTTGAAAGAGGAAATGTCTCTTTGGTGTAACTGCCAACAAGTTACATCTGAGACATGACAGCACAACTAGACACTGATGTTTTGTTAGAGGTCAAAGGCCAAGAAGCTTGGAAATCACTGCTTTAATATTTAACAATGTGTTGCAGTCCATAAGCTGATCAGAAGTGATTTTAATGTCTAATTTTGACCTGAAAAGTAACGAGTAACTAAAGTAACTAGTTACTTAAGCTCTCAATAAAAAGTACAATAGTTCCCTGTGGATGTAGAGGAGTACAAGTACCAAGAAGCAGAGAATGGAAATTCTCAAATAAACTCAAATGTGTATTTAAGGTCCAACACTGGTTTGGAGTCACTGCATTGAGTTGAATACAGGTTGACTTTAGAAGAGTAGAGGAAGGTGGTTTCTGTGCAAAATAATGTAAAATGACACGTTATTAAATGAATGTTTATCCTGATTTTTTGTCTAGGTTGAGGGAACCATTATGCTCACCAGAGAAAGGAGAGAAGACAAAACTCAAACAGAAAAAAAAAATGAGCCCCGCCTCTGTAGTAAACTACAAGGCGGATGTGGACCCATGGAAAAGGTAAGAAAACATTTACTTGACTTTTGAGAACTTTTCATTTAGAGTTAAATACGTGAATCTACATCTTGAAAAACAGTTGCTAAAGATGCTCCTCACTGAAAAGGCTGATACCAGTCAGTGAGGTTGACACTTTTTATCAGCACTTATTATCAGCGAGGCTGTTGCTGAGAATGACTTGCATCTTGTAGAAGATGCTGACATACAATGATAAACAACAGTCTCCTGATCTGGTAAGAAGATCCACAGTCTGTATGGAGCTTTTCTGAAGATCCTTGACTTACTTGGTGTTTTCTTTTAGGACTGTTTAGGTGGATTTGCAGTCATTTCTATACAAAGAGATGACAAAGGTAGTTTTCTGTGTAAAATGATGTATTTTGTTATTTCTTAGGTCTCTGTGGAAAAACGAACTTCAGAGAACAGAGATACAGATTCCACCGAGCCAGGAGAATATGCCTTCCCGGTAAACTTGACTTAATTTGGGTGTATTTTTCTTCTTTCTTGCAGTCACAACAAATCCCCCCAAAAGCTACATCCTGAAAATCATATCTAAATCATCCTGTGACTCATCTTCAAATTTCATTGTTTTTGATGCTCAGTAGCTGTAGCTGCCTGAGGTGGAGCTCGTTTGAACTTCTCCAGAAACAGTTCGGCAGTTTAGTCGAGTGGTTACCAACCTAGGGCTTGAGTCCCTCCAAAGAGTCACAAGACCTCTCTGGGCCTCAAAACAATTGACTAAATGAAACAATCTGAGCAGTTGAAAGAGGAAATGTCTCTTTGGTGTAACTGCCAACAAGTTACATCTGAGACATGACAGCACAACTAGACACTGATGTTTTGTTAGAGGTCAAAGGCCAAGAAGCTTGGAAATCACTGCTTTAATATTTAACAATGTGTTGCAGTCCATAAGCTGATCAGAAGTGATTTTAATGTCTAATTTTGACCTGACAAGTAACGAGTAACTAAAGTAACTAGTTACTTAAGCTCTCAATAAAAAGTACAATAGTTCCCTGTGGATGTAGAGGAGTACAAGTACCAAGAAGCAGAGAATGGAAATTCTCAAATAAACTCAAATGTGTATTTAAGGTCCAACACTGGTTTGGAGTCACTGCATTGAGTTGAATACAGGTTGACTTTAGAAGAGTAGAGGAAGGTGGTTTCTGTGCAAAATAATGTAAAATGACACGTTATTAAATGAATGTTTATCCTGATTTTTTGTCTAGGTTGAGGGAACCATTATGCTCACCAGAGAAAGGAGAGAAGACAAAACTCAAACAGAAGAAAAAAATGAGCCCCGCCTCTGTAGTAAACTACAAGGCGGATGTGGACCCATGGAAAAGGTAAGAAAACATTTACTTGACTTTTGAGAACTTTTCATTTAGAGTTAAATACGTGAATCTACATCTTGAAAAAAAGTTGCTAAAGATGCTCCTCACTGAAAAGGCTGATACCAGTCAGTGAGGTTGACACTTTTTATCAGCACTTATTATCAGCGAGGCTGTTGCTGAGAATGACTTGCATCTTGTAGAAGATGCTGACATACAATGATAAACAACAGTCTCCTGATCTGGTAAGAAGATCCACAGTCTGTATGGAGCTTTTCTGAAGATCCTTGACTTACTTGGTGTTTTCTTTTAGGACTGTTTAGGTGGATTTGCAGTCATTTCTATACAAAGAGATGACAAAGGTAGTTTTCTGTGTAAAATGATGTATTTTGTTATTTCTTAGGTCTCTGTGGAAAAACGAACTTCAGAGAAAAGAGTTACAGATTCCGCCAAGCCAGGACAATATGCCTTCCCGGTAAACTTGACTTAATTTGGGTGTATTTTTCTTCTTTCTTGCAGTCACAACAAATCCCCCCAAAAGCTACATCCTGAAAATCATATCTAAATCATCCTGTGACTCATCTTCAAATTTCATTGTTTTTGATGCTCAGTAGCTGTAGCTGCCTGAGGTGGAGCTCGTTTGAACTTCTCCAGAAACAGTTCGGCAGTTTAGTCGAGTGGTTACCAACCTAGGGCTTGAGTCCCTCCAAAGAGTCACAAGACCTCTCTGGGCCTCAAAACAATTGACTAAATGAAACAATCTGAGCAGTTGAAAGAGGAAATGTCTCTTTGGTGTAACTGCCAACAAGTTACATCTGAGACATGACAGCACAACTAGACACTGATGTTTTGTTAGAGGTCAAAGGCCAAGAAGCTTGGAAATCACTGCTTTAATATTTAACAATGTGTTGCAGTCCATAAGCTGATCAGAAGTGATTTTAATGTCTAATTTTGACCTGACAAGTAACGAGTAACTAAAGTAACTAGTTACTTAAGCTCTCAATAAAAAGTACAATAGTTCCCTGTGGATGTAGAGGAGTACAAGTACCAAGAAGCAGAGAATGGAAATTCTCAAATGAACTCAAATGTGTATTTAAGGTCCAACACTGGTTTGGAGTCACTGCATTGAGTTGAATACAGGTTGACTTTAGAAGAGTAGAGGAAGGTGGTTTCTGTGCAAAATAATGTAAAATGACACGTTATTAAATGAATATTTATCCTGATTTTTTGTCTAGGTTGAGGAAACCATTATGCTCACCAGAGAAAGGAGAAAAGACAAAACTCAAACAGAAAGACAAAATGAGCCCCGCCTCTGTAGTGACCGAGCAGGTGGATGTGGGATGGTAAGAACACATTTACTTGACTTTTGAGAACTTTTCATTTAGAGTAAAATACGTGAATCTACATCTTGAAAAACAGTCGCTAAAGATGCTCCTCACTGAAAAGGCTGATACCAGTCAGTGAGGTTGTTTTGTGTTGATCACACACTGACATTAATTGATGATTACTTGTGTTTCTTCTTTCACAGACACCAATGCGCAAGCGTCGGGAAACATAAAGGTAATCTGAATGTAAAAGCTAATTTATAACAATATACTGTATTGTAAAAAAACAAACAAACAAACAAGCAGGACAGATGTGTAATATCAGTGGTGCTGGAAGTGGACGAATGAGTGAGTGCTGCAAAAAAAAACAGATGAACCAACTAATGCCTCAGTTCAGCAGCAGATCTCAGATGGACTGCTCTTTTTCTCTCTTTACACATTCTAACTATAAACCCTCCATTGTTGGCTTTGGACAAACAAAGAAATCGTGTAAATGTGCTTCATATTTTGAGGATGAATTTTAACACAGACTGTGATCACATCTGTTGTGAACTATTGTGTAGGAGAACAAAAAGTAAACATAAAGAAACCCCCACCTGTGCACTCAAGCAGCAGCAGTTCAGAAGAAGCTGACAGCTGCTTTGATTCATTTTCAACAACCATATTGATTGATTGACTTCCACAGAAACATGTTTGATCCATCACATTCATATTGAAATATTTATTCCTGCTCTCCACCTCACTGACTTTTCTCTTTCTTTCTGTCGGTGAGCAGAAGAAAATTTAAGACGCCAGAGCAAAGGAGTGAAGACGGACATGAAAACCTGTAGTAACACATCTTCTCTTCAAGGATGTTGCTCTGTTTATTATAACAGCTTATCTGTTGCTTTGCTATTTTGGTGACAATAATCTATCATTGCATTGTGAAAGAAGTCTTTATATACTGTGTTTGCTGTAGCTTCCAACATCTACATTGAAGGTCATTGCTCCTCCTTATGAGGTACCAGTTTTAGCTCATGACTATAGACATGAAATACAACATACGTATATTGAGTTTTTCTTCCAGTTATCAGAGAGAAATTTTGGCATGTATTTTCTACTTTGTTGGATTTTGTTGTTTGATTGTTTCATGAATTCCCTTTATGTCAAAATTCAGTGTTGAGGCTTTTACTATGTCTGTTTTGCACTGACATCTCCCATAGTCCTCCACATATTTGTGCTACTGTAGCTTATGAAAAATGAAATAATCAGGACAGAAGAATTGAAGAAGAAAACCAACATCCACTGAAAACACGTTGCTAAAGACATGTAGTGTCATTTGTAGTTTGGTTAAAATCTCTTCAGTAAATATGTTCATTCAAACAGTTGCTATTAAAATCCTTACAAACGTCTTCTACGATTAATATATTTTTTACTCCCAAGTGCTGCTGATTCTTCGCAGCAATTGTTCACTTCATTTTCTTGTTTTAAACCAAATAAAGTGTTTGTAGTAAAAATGCACAAGGAGAGCATCATCTTTATAGCGTAGCATTTTACATAAAGTCGAATATATCAAAGATGATGTGAAGAACGCTTTTTTTTTCATAATAAGAATAAAAGCAAACATTTAAAATCCTTATTTATTCTGGTAATGCTGACTAAACATGCTGCCTGTCAGTAAAACCACAGTCTATTACTGGTAGATACTGATTCCAGATGTGAAAGCATTAGTCTATTTCATGAGCGTGCAGCTGGGTTAGAAAATATTGTACATGTCTGCATATTTTAATCTGAAAATGAAAGCAGAGGAGGTAAAACTGAAATGTGTACTGACTATAAAGGACTTCTCTAGGATTTTTATAGTTCAATATAATATTCATTAACCAGGATTTTTTTTTTATAGTTTAATCAAGTTTATGTACAGTAACCTCAAGCACAAAGGTTATCAAATGTTTGTCTGTAAAGCAGCTGAGCTATTTCTACTGCTGTGATAAGAAGATGCTCAAGGAGAGTCTACAAGGGAAGGAAGCAGAGATACCAGTCACATATACAGAGAGTTAATGTTGTGATTAAACTAGACTTAGATTAAATAAACCAATTTTAAATGGTGGTTTTGCATCTGTGTACTTTTTCTTATCTTTGTCCACATGGAAGCAGTGGTTTGGCAGTGAGTATATAAAGCTCTGTGTGTTTCACAGCTGTGTCAAACTCTTCAGCTCATCAGCCATGGACAAAATTTTGTTGGAGGTTGTGTTGTCTCTGCAGGTTTTCCTGCTCATCACAGCCCTCACTTCTACTGATGCAGCGGCTCCAGTGAAAGATGATCAACATCAACCGCCTCTTGATCGGGTAAGATGATCCACTGCTGGTCACTGACTGCATGGATGTTTTTACTGAGACAATTTTGCTCTATTTGGATTTTGATTTTGGGATCACACACACGATGAAAATGCATGTAATACAAGACGATGGTTTTCTTTAAATATTGCATCATTTATCCTCATTTTGTCGCAGGCAGACAAAGGAAGCGCACACTACACAAAAATGAGCACTAATAGACGAGGCTGTAAGTGGAAACCACGACGATGTGGAGGTCTCCGCTCTGTAAGAACAAATCTGCTTGACTTTGAGTTTACTTCATTCACAGTAAAATAAGTGAATTAAAAAAAAAAATCTGTAACTAAAGATCATCACAATCACAAGATTTATTTTGCCCGTCAGCGAAAAGGATGATCAGTAGCTGAAATGCAGTGGCTTGTTTTGTGCATATCACATTCATTTTATCAATCAATTCATGTTTATTTGCGCATGTGAGGAATTTAGCAGCTGCTTCTGAGTCTCTTTTTGTATATTACAGTCATTACCGCGTGAAGGAAGACCAAGACCACAAACGCATCCTCTCCTGTAAGACCTAATCTCTCACGTGAACACAAATACAGCAACCCACCGGGCTTGCAAAACGACCAATAGTATATAAGCATAATGAAAAGAATCAGTAGGATTTGTTTTTGTTTCACACAGACCTCGACCAGGAAGCCAATCTGTTATTATGTTACCATGATCCCAAGATACAAAGAGATCACGATTGTGAACTATTGTGTAAGTAAACAAAATGGAAACACAATGGAAACACTTGCAAATGCATTCAAGCAGCTGGATTTCAGAAGAAACCTGTAGCTATTTCATTTCATTTTCAATTGATTGATTGATTGATTGATTGATTGATTGATTGATACTGTACATTACAATGTTTTTCTTCCTACTCTCCTTCTCAATCACTTTTTTCTTTTTTTTCTTTCAGTGATCAAAGGAAGAAAAGACGAAGTAAGACCAGAGAACTGACGACAGGCATGAAGACATGTGCTAATTACATATTCTCTTCAAGCAAGTTACTCAGTTTATTATGAAAGATTTTAAGAGAGAGTTTTCTGGAAAAAAAATCATTGCATGACAATTGCATTATAAACAAAAGGTTAATTTGTCTCTATATAAGCTATACTATGCAAAAAACCTATGTACCAAATGGCTATATTTAGTATTGCCAATACAAGATGACTTACTCTTGTGTTGCGTAAGGTGCCAATGTCCAAAATGTAATATGACATACAGTATATGTTGCATCAACAATCAATCTTCAACAATTTTCTTGTTATTAATATCATATAAAAAATTGTAACTCATACCTTGTAACCATTTTCTTTCTGTGTGTCTGAGTGCAGTTATGCTCCCACTGTTTAAATGCTAATATTGTATTTACAGTACATGCTTTACATCTGTTTTTAAGCATCAAATAAAAAAGTTTTGCCAATCAAAAAACTTCATCTGTATCTTAAATAAAAGGTTCATCGATCCATCCTGCAAACAGTCCAGAGCTACAGGCCAATTTAGGGTCACCAGTTTATCTAACCTTTATATCTGGACTGTGGGAGGAAACCACGTTACAAATGACAACTGGCGCCACTGGCACCACCAGCTGGGGTTGGCACCAAAAAAAATTTTCCATTGCCATCTGTATTTTTAATAGTCCAACTCTACTGTGCAATGCATAATTATATTCTTAAAATAAAAATACCACTTCTCACTCAGCACTAAACACCTGCAGTGATCTTTCTGTCATATCATCATAATAATATAACAATAATAATAATATCATTCTGCTGGGTAACACCACTGGGGAAGAAGCATGTATGGATAACCAGGTTAGCCAGGTTCCATTCAAACTTCATGATAAGACTCACAACTGGAATAATGAGAGTGTTGCACCTCGTAGAGGTGCGGCCTCACCTTGAGTCATGGAGTATTCGGCGAGTCATTAGGTTTAACAAAAGACAGAGCATGATGAAAAGCATTATATGCTCTGACATTAAAGTACTGATGTCCTAAACCTGGCAAAGTGCAAGCTATTTTAATAGGTGTCCACTGCAACTGTTGTGGTTTAGTCAAACTGTATATAAATGTACTTTCTTGGAGACAGAGTTCTATGTCGGTGATAATTTGCAACAACACCTCTGAAGCGCTGCTGCTTGTTGAAAACATCAGTATTCCGTTGACGCTGAGGTTAACAAGCATCTAAATCCTGTCCAGACCTTATATACAGTCTATGGTCCAGACCATGAAGTTGAGAATCACATTTAATTACATCAAATAACTGGTGGCTCAAAGTTGAGTTTGTCCATGTGCCCTGTTCCTCTCTCTCAAGACCAGTTAACCAGCACTGGGGGTTGGGGGCCTGCAAACTGCATTGGACCGTGGTTGGGAGGATGGTTGTGAAGGTCTGAATTTACTATATCCTCTAAGTGCTGTCTCTATTGTAGGGAGGGATTTAATGCCACCTCCTGGTGTGACAGGGTTTTACTGGGGGCATTCCAGCTCATTTTTCCCTCCTTACAGGTTAATCCAGCCACGGCAACCCTGAATTAATTTTTACACCAATTTATAAAGCTTTGCTGTCACTAATATGCAAGAACTGGATGTAACCAACACCCACACATAGACTGCATGTAAAGAATCTTTGTTAAGCACATTTACATTCTTTCAGTGATAGTTAACATTCACAGACCACCTCAGCAGCTGGCCTGTGGATACAAACTACTTAAAAGTGATGTATGGCCTGTGGTTTTTCCTCTACATTTGTATGTGATTTTCCAAAGTACAGATAAAAATTTCTGTAGCCAACTGTTTCATTCTGAGAACAAAAGGAATCCAGTGTTTGTTTCTGCTGTAAATCGTTCTGTGACTGCAGCTCGATTGCTCGGCCTCTGAGTGAACAGAGGACATAAGGGGGAGATATTATTTCTTTCAAAGAAAGAAAGTTCCTCTGTCAAATATTAATGGATTAAAACTGAAAGTTAATTTGACACAGTCCTTGTGGTTTAAGTGGAGGGGTAGTTATGAATACTGTGGATGTGCATGCAAGATAAAATACAGTTAATACACCTTATGTATGTTTTTAGTTGCAGAATTGTGTCCTTTAATACTGAGCAATGACTTGATACTTAATATCTAAGATGCAATTTGCCATTTTGGATATTTCTGCCCTTTTTCCTTCACTGCTAAGCTAAACATCTCTCAATGCTTTCATTTTCTAAAACTAGACTAAAAAGTTAGTGATTTCTTTACTTTCAAGTATTTCATGTAAGGTGCAATGCCTTATTGTTTGTGTTGTATCTCTGGTGTTGCTATGCTGTTAAAACACATGCTTCTGTCTCAGTTTAAACAAGTTCATGCATGTTCATAAAACAAAAAAAATTGTTTCCTCAATAAATACCTTGAATAGATGATTTAATTCCTACTTGGTTTCTGTCTCCTGTCACTTGACTTCTCTCTCGGTCTGAGTCATCCTTCCTCAAAGTGTGTTTAAAGAGTGTGGAGCTACAAGACTCAGCTGGATTTGCAACTGAACTGACGCCAGAGAATCAAAGCTGTGACTAACGGTAAGACTGGTTTCTGATTTGATAATTGGGTGTGTTCACAGCCAAATAATGTTGCTAGTAACCCTGCAACATAGTGTGAATTACAACGTAAACTTGAAGATGCACAGTATTTGTGATTTTTAATTTTAAATTGGATTGAATCTGATTTATCCTGATCTAGTATTCCCAGTATATTTAAATGCAAATAAATAATAGGAAAACACAACTTGTGTGGTAGTGACTATTTGACCAGAATGTTTTCACTGTCAGAATTGGTTTATTTATGCTGTGTTTTAAATGTGTTTATAGAGGGATAAATCGTGGCTTTATGTGAGATGGGAGTGTGAGGCCATTTTGTTGTTTGTAATACAGAAAAAAAATTCAGATTTCCAACTAAAAAATAAAACTTCACAGGCAGAATGAACTCGCTCAGTGCAGTGGATTTCATCAGTGGTGCAGAAAGATCTTTCCCTTTAGTAAAGCTAACAATACCACAGTGCAGCTCTGCTACAAGTAAAAGTCAAAAGCATAAAAGTATTAACACCAAAATATAATTTAAAAGTATGGCTCATTTGGAATAATATTAGGATATGTGTTTTATAATTGAATATATTTTTGATGCATTAATGCAAGCATCACTGATGTTGCAGCTGTTAAGCTGTAATCAGTGTTGCCATTGTAATGGGCTCCCTTGCATTTTTTTCGTTCTTTGAAATGACTAATTTTTTCCTTCGCTGTGATCATTGCATCTTCACATCAAGCGCAGAGCGCGGATGAAGCCGGGTTCTTACGTAAATTCACGCCCACTTATGCTGCGCGAGAGTGAAATCAAACGAATCCTCTACAGCGCAGAGCAAACACAAACTGAGTGGAGCTCACTGTACATCGGGTAAATAGACGGGACAGATAATTGAATGAAACGCCGTGAGTATCTAGGCCTATCAAACAAAACATGCAGATCGCCCACACTCCTCTGTAACGCTACATATCTCTGTTTTAACCATGTGTTTTGGTTTCAGCTCCGTTGTGAACTGCGTTTTTGTTGATCTGCTCCACCACCTCTACAAATATCTGCTTACAGTAATTCAACATATGCTGCCTCTGATTGCTTCTTTAATTCATATAATTCACTTCATTGCATAGTCATGGAGCTACTGTAACTGTAACTGTACTGTAGTTCTACTGAAGTCCGCTTTCAATGCACTTCTACTTTACTTGACTGTTTCCATTTCGTGCTACTTTATGCTTCTATTTCACTATAATAAATAAGTAAATATTGTACTTTTTTACTCCACTACCTTCATTTAACAGCTATAGTTACTAGTTACTTTGTAGATTAGGATTTTACACACAAAATCCATGGTGAGTTTATGAAATAATATGCTTGTAATAGATTAAACTACCGAACAGTGTATGAAATAGGTAAATTAACTCAACCCCAATCATTATTATTAGTATCATTAATAATAATTCAATATTGCAATTCTTGGACATTTTTCTGAATTATGGGCACTATGTTTTAGATACATTTTACTAATAGTACTTTTGCATGTGAAATTTTCAATGTAGAACTTTTATCATTGTATTTTTAGGTATAAGATTTGAACAATATCCGTCAGAAGAAGGGAACTGTGGTATTTCTCAAGCACTGGAATAAAAAATGAAAAAAAAAAGTGTATTTCCCAGAAACAGGAAAAAGGAGAGCACTCAAGAGGACTCAATGTAATTTATAGCTGTCAAAATGTAAATGTAAAGGAAAATGTAGAGGAAAAAAAGAACACCACACCTCTGCAATGTAGTGTAAATGGGCATAAGGTGGAACTAAAGTGAAATACTTCAAGTGTTCCTAAATAAAGTCCTTGAGCAAATGTACCTAGTTTCTTTCCACCACTGTGTTTATCCTCTAAATTTCTTTAACAATCAGTGATGTATATGACAAGGTCTCACAGATATTCCACAGCTCTTCAACTTATCTTAGGCGTATTCATTTATGCAGAGGAGAAATCCCATCAGGGAATCTCTAGGGGAATTTGGTAATTTATACAAGCCGCTCTTTAGTACAGAGGCAGAATGAGCACTACAACAGAAAGGAAGAGTTCAGGTCAGAACAATATGGCCAGATGTCGACAGGGGAGGTTGACACCAATCTTAATAAGGCACAACTAGAGGGCCACTCAGTACAGTGCATACCTCCTCTCTATAACACCGGCCGATCATTAGCCAGTGCTAGTAATATCATTGTAAGAGGTGTGGAGCTCCGTAACGTGCTACATTTCACTGTGACTTTAAGTAAAGTAATTAAGTACATGTACTTACCTACAACCATGGTAACTCTAGGTATGTACATTGTTGCACAAGCAGAGCTGATAATGTTTAAAGGCCACAGATAAGTAATCCAAGATGCTCTTCCTCACTGCTTTATCAGATTAGCATGGATGTCTTGGAGGACGACGACTACTATGACCATGAAAACATCAGCTTCAACTTCAGCTATGATGACTACCCTGCCCTGTGTGAGAAGGCTGACATCCGTTCCTTTGCTGCCCTCTTCCTCCCCATCATGTACACGGTGTGTCTGGTGGTGGGACTGGCAGGAAATGCCTTGGTCGTGACCGTGTACGCCTACCACAAACGCCTGAAGACCATGACAGATGCTTTCCTGAGCCACCTGGCTGTGGCTGACCTGCTCCTGCTCTTCACACTGCCTTTCTGGGCTGCTGATGCTACGAGGGGCTGGGAGCTGGGTCAGGTCATCTGTAAGATCATGTCAGCCTGTTACACGGTCAACTTCACCTGCTGCATGCTGCTGCTGGCCTGCATCAGCCTGGATCGTTATTTAGCATTGGCCAGGGTGCAAGGTAGAGAACAAAGAGGCTGGCTGCAGAGGGCGTTCAGCAGGAGACACTGTTGGAAGGTGTGTTTAGTTGTCTGGGCAACAGCTTTCATGCTTGGTCTGCCTGATTTAATACTCTCAGAAGTGAGGTGGGCATCTAATAGGAGCATCTGCCTGGCTGTCTACCCTCCATCCATGGCTAGAGGAGGTAAAGCTGCACTGGAGATAGCTGAGGTGCTGCTGGGATTCTTGCTTCCTCTCCTGGTTATGGTGATCTGTTACTGGAGTGTGGGCCGAGCGCTGAAGGGCCTCCCTGTTCAAAGCAGAGGCAAGAAGTGGAAAGCCCTGCGTGTTCTCCTAATAGTGGTGGGAGTGTTTGTGGTCACACAGCTGCCTTATAATGTCTTGAAGCTCTATCGAATGATGGACTCGGTCTACGCTTTAGTGACCCACTGTGGGACGAGTAAAGTGCTGGATAAGGCTGCTCAGGTGACGGAGAGCCTGGCCCTCACTCACTGCTGCCTCAACCCGATCCTCTACGCCTTCATGGGGTCTTCCTTCAGGCAGCACATGACCAAAATGGCCAAGAAGTTTGGTGAGAAGAGAAGAAAGAGGAGGAGGGAAAACCCTGCAGAAGAAGGAGGGATGGACATATCATTTAACTCCCACAGTGCATCTCAAGAAACAAACACATTTTCTATATGAGTTAAAACTAGTATGCCAGAGTGAATGATGTCTGTATGTATCACTTATTTAGCATAGTATAAGAGCAGATGCAGTTACTCTGTGTAGATAGCTGTTGAGACAGCAGCGGTGGAAGTAGGCTGAAATTGAATTCCCTCTACATCAAAAACAGGAGGTTGTTTTCTTAAGTCTTTTCTTCCTCTAATTTTATTTAAAAAAAAATGGGTTTGAGTAAAATGTATTTGTTTACATGACTTCTTTGTTATTGTAGCAACAAATAAAATTATATATCTTTCTGTGAAGTGAGTGATATTGTAGTGAGTGTACTTTTTTGTAGTTGATATGACAATAAACTTTTTGAGCTTTAACACAAACTTTAAATGAAATAACAAAAAAGAAAAAAGAAAGCTAGTCTAGAGGATCGAAACTGCCGCTCGCTGGAGTAAGGAGCTATTTGTAAATTTTGCTATTGCTACATAGCCAATGTTAGCATTTACATCGTAACCAGCCTGGAAGACACGTTGTGAGTTCAGCATCAAGCCTCTATCCTTTACTCGCCAAGTGCTGTCTCCATAACTCTTCTGTCTATTACGTCTTTTCTTCTACCGAAGTTAGCACGCTAACAAGCTAGCCCCCGGCCCGTCTCGTCACTTAACGGTACCGACTCACTGTAGCCTCCAATCTGGTATGAAGACGTAGCCTAGCGCTGCTCAAAGAGCGTATTATAATCTCTTGTATTATAAAGACGACGGCCGAAGGTCTTGTCAAGCGACAATGACCACCACCCACTAGTATATGGGCTAACAAGACTCTGAGTTTATATTGTGAACAGGGTGCCAGGAGATAAATGCTAGCAGCATGCTGAAATGCTGATGCTCCAGCATACCATATTCACCATTCTAGTGTAATGTGTTAGCACGCTAACATCTGCTAATAAGCACTAAGCACAAAGTACAGCTGAGGCTGACGGAGATAATAGATTTGCCGGTATTTTGTCATAAACAAGAATTTTGACTGGCGATGGCACAAGAGGAAAAATCAGGATCACCAAAGCTATTATAATTCATCCTGTGGGAGATCATGAATGTCCGTACCAGATTTAATGATAATCCATCCAACAGATGTTGAAATATTTCAGTAAAGAACAAACTGTTGGATCAATTGACTGTAGAGCCACTAGTTGCTGGTTAGTGTGCCTAGAACTGGACTTTTTAACCTATTCAACAGAAAACGTTCCACATAATCAAAAAGGCCATTTGCATAATAACTCACAAGCTAGAGATGAAGTAATGGATCTGTGATTTCACAAGACACATTTAACTCCCACACAGTACAAAGTGCAAATAAGGTTAATACTTGAACTAAATACATGAAACACAAAACAGCTGCAAAGGGAATAGGTAACTTGACCTTTGCCCTTTTGTAAAACAACTTTGCAAATGCAATTTATTTTAAATGATGCCTTACTTGTTTTAACTGTAACTGTGCAAGGGGACCATGATTTCCTGAAAATGAAGTGATAACAATTGCTTTTTTTCCACTGTTGGTGTTGTTCAAAATGTGTGCCAAATCTGAATCCAGTGGGATTTCATTCCTTTCACATGGGAAACAGCTTTGTTGTTTCCTGGTTTCCTCAGAACATCTGAAACACACATGTACACTTCACTGTTTTTCTCTGAGTGGACTGCCAAGCTGCTCAACAGAAAACAATTTTTACTAGGCTCTTTGTGAGTTGATGAAGAAACATTGAAAAGTTCATCTCTTAATTCTCTTCATTGTTGCAAATGTTATTACATATGTTTTCCTTTAACACTGATTTAATCTGGAAAGAAAGCATCAATTTGTGTGACTGGGCAGAGAGGGAGGGTTGCATACTTTCAAACATTTAATAGTGCACACAAATTCCAGTATTAGCAGTCTGGACATATTTAGATAAAAAGGTCAGTGTTCTCCTTTGCAAACCAGTTACAACATCCACTGGTTCAAAAACAGTCTCCAATTGTAAGCTAGACATAAATACCACACTACATAGTTTAAATAATCCTATCGTGTTATGCATGCTGCGGTTGTCATGTTCATCTCTCAGGCAAACAGCATTCACTGAATGTTAGAATATCAGAAATTCTCCATTCACATTTTTTTTTTTATTTTAATGTTCATTCTGTTTGTTTTTATTTTTATTTTTTTAGCTTTCTTCCCAGCTGGTAAGGATCAAGTGATACTTTATAAAGTCATGCTGCTGGTCATGCTCTGGTGCTTGTTCTGTTTCATGTGGAAACCATTTGACTGAGGTTTACCATCTGTTAACAGACCAAAACACTTTACCAAAAGAGTTTCAACCTCAGGATCAAACTGTTCAGTGTGATAAACACAGCCTTCTGTGTGATTGAAGACAAACATGACAAGTCACAAACAAATAAGTCTCACATAAGAAAAACTGAGTACATGTTGAAATGACTCCTCTTATTTCACATTTTCAAATCAAACTATGACTATTACTTACAACAAAAGTGTACTGTTTATTGAAAAAAACTTTCGAAAATGTGCAAAGAAACAACAAAATGTAACATAAACATGGCTTCCTGTGATAAAAAAAACAACAAAAAAAACTATAAATATACAAAAATGCCACTCAAGGCTCTTATTTATTATTTCAGATAAGAAATATAGCTAATTCACTTCCTAAATTACGGCATTCAACCAGCTTCATTTTCAACAAACGAGAACCAAGATTTGTTTATCAAATTAAGTAAAAGGTATTACTTATTCAAATATATAAATGTAATTCTAAGAATTTTTTAAAACAAAAACTCAGAGGCCTAAAATGGCAGTGTCACAATAGAAAAGAAAACTTTCTGGCATTTTCCGCATGAGAACACTGTTACAAAATGTAACCAAACATTCACTCATTAAATACAATATGCCATTTTATGAAATATAACTATGAAATTTGTTAGCTTTTTACAGAATATGGTTTCCATGCAAACAAAGTTACTAACTTAAATACCCTGAACTAGATCATCAACCCTGTATTAAATGTTAGAAAAAAAGCTAATACTGAATGAGTTACTGTAAATATCACCTAAAGTAAAATGCTGTCACAGTCCCAATGTTGATAAACTACAAAAAATAAAGCAGTTGTCTTCAAGTCTCAGGCTTTCCACTAGATGTGGAAAAATACAAATTTACATGTAAATAAGCAGCAGAAGGCTGAAGGATTTGTCCTGGTTTTCTTCCAGTAAGGCACCTCATTTCTGTGGAATGTTGCAGATAACCACCCAGTTAAAGACCCAACGGAGACACAATGACTCCTGGCTATGTAAATATCTTATGGTTAATTAATTCAGGCACTTTGTTTAATGTTGGCTGAGGGCAAACGGCCAGTATAGTACACTGAAGAAGTCTGGTGCAGTCTTGTGTGTAAAAGGTTGTTTTTTTTTTTAACGATAGATAACAATGGAATGTTAAAGTTAAAGTATCAGCTGTGCAACTCTAACAAAATGGGAAAGGTTTGAAGTGTCTTTAGAGACATTGTATGACTGCAGAGAAGAGCACATTGTCTGCCATCAGTAATTGAGGATCTGCACATCAAACAGGTCACAGACCCCCTCATTGTCATCCAGGTTGAAGCTGTAATCTATACCTGCACGAGGAGAGAGGAGCAACAACGAGATTACTATAAAACATTAGTAAGACAAAGACAGGCAGACCCAGGTATATTCTAAGCTTTGCAAAGCGTCATAGCCCAGGGGATCGTAACACTGGTCAGTCACACATTCTTGTCCAGATCGAAACATCTCGACAACTGTTGGATGGATTGCTGTGACGTTTGGTTCCCATATCAATGGTGAGAGGAAGATTCCTAATGACTTTGGTGATCCCTGGCCTTTCCTCTGGCACCACCAACAAGTCAAAGTTTTCACATATCCTGTGAAATATCTCAACATCTTTTGACTTGATTAGCAAGTTTTATACAGACATTTATAAACCTGCAGTGTGAAACTTTTGTCTCTGCCAAATGTTAACATGCTAACATGCTAAACTAAGATGCTGAAAATGACAAATATTAACCTGCCAATGTCATTAGTGTAGATTATCTATTTACGGAGTAAGTTTAACCACCTGAAAATCTTGTTTTTGCTAGTTAACTTTACACCTGGTTGCAGTGATGTACAGGCAGACTCCAGGACCTTAGGAAATCACTGCTGGTTAAAGATGTAACAGAGCACATTTCTGGCCACACCCACCAGTGATGCTGGGTGTAACAGAGGTGAAACAGGCTTGCTAGTTGGGTTGTACACTGTAACAGTTGGTAAATAAAGACACAGTTTTTCCATTTATGAAGTTACTTATTCCAGGTCTTGCAATTCTTACCATCAGTAGACATTAGCTCATCAATCAGGTCAACAGCTCCTGCAAGAGTATTAAAAACATGTTTCTGTTTAATAGTAAGTAGTCTACTAAAATATAGGTATATAATTCAGCCTAATCCTAAAGCTAGGAATCAAAAAACTGAATAAAAGCAGGCCTAGATCTTAAAGCCTTCACAGAGTTTAACTGAAACAACTGTTAAACAAACATCAAGTCTCCCCGAAGCCTCACTGCTGCATTCAATTACAGAATAAACTCTGTTGACATCCCCATCTCCCTCATCCCCTTACCCTCTCTGTCATCCTTCATGTGGTCCCCAGCAGCGTTGAGCTTCAGCAGGCTGCTCACGTCCAGCACAGACTGGAACTCTGGGTCCGCCAGGTCCATCTGCTGCTGCCCCAACACTGCTACTGGCTGACACTCTGCAGGGAGCATGGCCAGTGCAAACTGAATACTTATCTATACAGTGAAGCTCCTTTTAACAAATAAAACCAGCAACATTACATGATTCAATTACCTGGACCTAGAAAAATTAGAAGAAGACAGGTCACTATCCCAGAAATAGTGAAGCACGACGTCGCTTAAAAGAGTGTTACAACACTTAAAGAAATTAGCTTATTGCTGATGAGTCACTACATAACCTCGTATAGATCCAAACTGTTATTTTTACCTGCCTCTGTTTAAAAGTAAATCCCCTCAAAAACATCTCGACACTCCGGCTATTTCGTGGCAAGCCACTGAGTAAACACGCTATATGTTTGGTTTGTTGTTTCAAATGTTGAGTTATTTTTATTTATTTATTTTAAAGTATATTTTTTGGGGCTTTTTATGCCTTTATTGATAGTGCAGTAGAGAGAGACAGGAAATGGGGAGGCAGAGAGAGGGGGAATGACATGCAGCAAAGGCTGTCCGATGCGGGACTCGAACCGGGGCCAACTGCAGCGAGGACTGTAGCCTCTACACATGGGGCGCCTGCTTAGACTACTACGCCACACAACGCCCCAACGTTGAGTCATTTAACAGTAAAGATCATTTTGTACATGTCTACTGTGTCACTGTAATGACAATTCCTCGTAAAGGAAGGAAGATCCAACTGAATTTCACTAACAATGCAAAGAAATATCTGTTTGCACATTGTCCAGTTTTATCTATGCTTACAGTGCCTGTGAAAAACTTACTCATCATTTTCTCATAAACCTAGATCCAGATGAGGAAGTGGTTAGTCTTTCACACATACTGGAAGTCTGCTACACACAAAATGCCAGTGTTTAGTGTAAGTAAAAAGTAAAATATCGTGGGAATTCGGAGATGCAGTTTCAGGTTTACAAAGATAATATGTTTATATTTTTCCACTTTCATTTTCAATGCAAGTAGATCACAGTTCCCTTCTCTCTCAGTGTAAAACTGTTACAGACAAGACCCTTGTGAACTTTTGAATTATGTTAGCCCAGAATGTTTTTGCTTTCTTCCCACGAGACAGCATGGATTTTTAGATTGATTTCTTATGGTCTGCGCCGTTGGTTTTGGTTTATTTAACTGCATTATGAAAATCAACTTCTATGATTTTAAACATGCTTGAGACAGACAGCCCATTATGAGTGACACAGTGCTTTTGGTTTTGCCTTTAAATTACATTATGATCACATAGTATTATGGATGCAAGCAGTGGCCTTTTAAAAACGTTTCCTGTTCTTGCATGTAAGGGGGTGCTCTGTCATCTGATATTGAGTCGACTGCCTTTTAAAGAAATAATAAACCAACTTCATGATGACGATTTGTTTCGCAATGCCAGTATTCTCTTTGTTTGTCTTCAGGGTTTGAGTTCCTGACAACGGAGCTCAGCAATGCATTACTTTCACTTCTTGGACATGGGAGCGTTACTGAATACAACTCAGAGTTATGAAAAAAACATCTCTGCCAGTAATTGCATTACTGCACAAAGATAAAAAAAAAAGAAGCAGTATATGCCCCGAGTTGCAAACCAAACTAAAATTAATTCAGTCTAATACAACATTCTTGCAATGAATCATAGACGGTTTTAATGTTCAGCTTTTCTTGAAACTGTTTAAAAGGGGTGATTTACATTTGTGGTTATTTGTAGTTTACAGTGTTGTTGCATTATATTGGTTGTAACTGACAGGTGTTTTTAATAGTTAGTCTACACTTGTAGAAAAACATCTTCCTCTCAGTATTGTGCAATAGAGATCAACAACCAGGACATCCTCTGATGTTTAGAAAGTCTAAGAGTAGCTTTACTTTAAAAAAAAAGGACAGCAGCATGTGCCGTTGAAAGCACTGCATGTTGATAGTTCAATTTTTACAGAGAGATTAGGCTTGTGACATCATCACCCTAACTGACGCAACCGAGCAATCATTTTACAAACCTGGTATTAATTAGTTGTTGTTTGACCTCTTGCAGCTGTTTGTGATGGTTTTAAAGGGCCTGCACACCCACGAGTGTTTTCACTTATTCTGGCTCATAACCCACTGCTTAGGGTCAAGTTGAGTAAAGCTATACTGGGAATTGCAAGAGGTCTCTTAAGTCAACGTACCAATAAGAATCATTGAGGTATAACGTCTTCTACCTCTTTTACTGCAAGACTAGTAAATTACCAGCTGTTAATGGTAACATGGGCCATGTAACTATAGCAAAACTTATAAAAAGCTCCTTTAAAAAAACTTGTGTACCACAACTGTGTAGGTCATTTAAAGTAAAAATGAAAGCGGGAAATGGGAAATATGACTCAGTTATTGGGTAATTCAACAGCACCACAAACTACTACTGTTTCTAAGATCACTATAAAGTTGAATCAACACCACAAACTGTTTCATTAACTCTATAAAGTAGGACTTATTGCAGGGCTCTTGCATTTGACTGCATAAGTTTTAGCAAGGTATTCCTAATAATGTGGTAAGTGAATGTCCAATAGGCATGTTTTTGTTGGAGATGCCAGTGGCATTTGGTACGTAAGTCTACACTAGTGGGATTTTCTCTACACCATTTGTACTGTCACTTAACTGAAACACCTGGTGCATTCAGCCAGCGTCACTGTGGACACCCAACACCACTTGTTAAGTGACTCAAACCTAAAGTGATATTGACTAAAGGACTTGCAGCTACAGTTGGGGGGGGGGGATTATTTAACATCTCCAGACTCATGAGATTGAGGATATTATTTAAGATAAATCATGATGGAAATGGAGAGATGGAGGGAAAATGAAACTGCCCCAGGATGACAGCACTTTGGGGTTATAATGCAATTAGCTTCTTACTTTAGAGGCTACTGAAGCTGTGAATTGTTTTCATTATGTTTTAAACTTCTACTGTGTATATAAATATGTTTCGTTGTGTGAAGTCAAACTTTTGTCTTATAAATTTCGTTCATCACAGCCTAAGCAAAGTCTTTAAAAGTCGAATTTGTATATAAAAAGCATTAAATGCTCAAATATAAAGTTCCTGTCCTTACCCATCTGCACATCAGGGGGGGTAGACGAAGGCGTCAGCACTTCATCATGTTCTGGCAGCACCATCTGGTGGTCTGAGCAGAGAGAGTCCTGGCTGCAGTAGGAGGAGATGGTGTTGGAGGTGGAGTAGATGGATGTAGAGAGGGGGAACCTCTGCAGGCTAGCAGGCGTGCTGGGTGGAGATGGCATCAGACAGATGTCGTCAGTGGGCGGCACAGGGAAGACCACAGGTATTGTGGAGTCTGAATCCCTGTTGATGAGCATGACCTGGATTGGAGCCAAGTGGCTACGTAGGTTCACCTGGTACTTCTTCTGACCACTCTGGCCCTGTAAAGCCACAACATGTTTGTAAGATTATGATCATGTCTTATTTTTAATGTATTTCCATGCCTTTGTAAACCACTTTGGACTACTGTTTTGATTCAGTCTCACCGGTATTATAGCATAATTTTTACAGCAGGAACCTGTTTTCAGCGAAAAAGCCACTGTACACTTCCTGCTCAGCACCAAATGATAGACATTTATTGACTAGCTGCTGAACAGACTGGAACATTTAGCAGCCAAAGATATTTCCTGCAGGAGTTGAAGGAAACTAAAAATAGATCTAAAATGTGGTGAATATTGTGTAAAATGAGCAACATTTTTCTAACAACTTTGCCCTAACATCTGCAAAGGTGATAATTTGTCAGTGCTGTGTTCACAGCTTGTTTCTATAAGGGCCAAAAATCAACTATTGCAAGGTTCATTTCTTTACAGGAAACAAGTGTAGTCATTTATACGACAATGCTTATTGTATGAATGTAAGATACACACCTCTGTGCAGAATAACCAGCCATATGTGTTGATGACCCTGTGCTTCATTCGCAAACTTGTTTTTGTAATTCCAGTTAGACTTCACACACCACACGAACATCCAAATCAATAAAGAAATATTTTAAGAAATGACCAACTATTTCAGGTAATGGAACCTCCAGTTGCGTTCCAGCAGGAGCCATGACAGCAAGAAGAGTGTCTCCGCTGAAGGCACTGCAAATGTCTTCATGCGTCACAAATTTATAAGTAAAGAAGTGTTAAGGAAATATGAACAGGGTTACTTATGGGAGCAAATTGAACTCGATAAACTGGAAAAACAAGACTGTGAGCTTTGTACACATTGGGGTTAGCCTGGCTGTGATTTCACAGGACAGTGACAATAGCATTTATATCTATAATCCTCCCTTTATAGCATTTTCTGTTCAATAAGCAAACAATGTTAAAAGGATTAAGAGGGGATTTTTTTCCCTCTGAAATGAATAAATGGCACCCAAAGAGGAGTTGAATTACAAACAGTAAAGAGAGAAAAAAAGAATTGCAAGTACAAATGACACCAAGTGACATTTAACTGGAATGACATCACAAATCAAGTCTCAGTAGTAGATGTTTTGAACACTTGATGTGATCAGTAAAACAGTACATTACTTTTAGGTTATGTTACAAAGTAGGTACTGGGGTGTTTTAACTTGCCTTAATGTGAAATGTTAACAAATCTTAGCACAAACAGTTTGTGCTCTCAGTACAGAAAAGAATGAGTTAAGATAACACTGACCTAAATTGACAAAAAAAGTAAAACAAGGATATGTGCTGGTGATGGGATTCTGGTTTAGGTGTTTGATGTTGTCCTCCAGCCAGGCCTTCTGGTTGTCCAGTTCTTTCTCTTGGTCCTCTAGTTCAGAGATCTGTGCCTTCAAAACTTTTACCTGCTCCAACACCTCTTGAGTTTGGCTGCCTGTGTTCTCACCTCTGGACACAAGGAAGATAAAAGATAAGATAACAGAAGTCAAATACTGGTATTTTTCAGCCATTTATAGTCAGCATTTGTTCTTTACTAGCAATTTTAACAGGCTTAGTGGCACTTTAAGTGGGTTTCGTAGCCTGGCAAGTGCTATAATGTTTCACATCAACATTCAGAAGTTACAACATACTGACGGTGATTAAAAAATAAATTAAAATTTGTTTCTAACATTTGAAAATAGCAGTGACTTGTGTTTTCAAACCTCCACTGGATAATATTCTTGTTTTTCTTCTCAATCAGCCCCACACCTTCCAGGACATTAGTGATGTCATATATCCTCCTCTTCTGCTTCACTGCCAAGCTGTCTGCAGCCTGTTAAGACAGACATTTTCATAAAGGCTCTTACTCAGTGGTAGCTTAATGTGAATCCTTGTTGACAAGGCACATCAAAGACACTTTTAACAGGCATTGGCAATAAACAGGAAATTTATGCAGCAAAGACAGCATGGAATGAAAAAAAGAGACTTTAGCAAAGCTAACAAATGAACAATTTTTCAAATTAAACTGCACAAACAACAAGTCAAACCCCTTGGCAGGAGAGGACAGTTATACAATAGCAGAGGACGGAGGAGGAGGGAAATCGTCCGAGAAGCCTGCTGTGTAAACATTACTCAGCTTTGGCGCGCAAGGAAAGAGGGAAAACTTCTTTTCAGTGAAAAAAGATGTTAGATTTTTTCTCATCTCAGGTTGGTCTGGCAAAGATACACCCACCTATCAAAATACTAAGGGCTGCTGGGTAGATGGTTCAAAATTTAAACTTAATATTTGAGGGAAAGAGATTTTAAAAAACATCACCATTTATGCTTCATTTCTAGAGCTTAAAAGTAGCTGTTAGCAAACAGCCACAAGAAAACAGAATAATCTGAGCAATGGCAGGAAGGAAACTTTCTAAGAAAATGTTGCTTGTTTGCACATCTCACTGGCATTAGGGCTGCAACTAACAACTATTTCATTATAAATGAATCTGTCAATCATCTTCTCAATTCATTTTTTAAAACCTCATGAAACAGTGAAAAACGTTTATCACTCTTCAAGGTGTCCAAGGTGATATTTTCAAATGTCTTGTTTTGTCTGACCAGCAGTCCAAAACCCAAAGATATTCAGCTTACGCTGCTATAAAGCAGAGAAAAGCAAAAACCCATTGGAGAAGCTGGAACTAGGATGTTTGTTATTCATTTCTTTAAAAAAAAATGATACTAACCATTAAACGTTTTAATTGACAAATTGTGACAGCTATAACTGGTCTTCCCAGAGGGTAACAACATAGATCTGATCTTTCTACGCTATTTACGTTTAGTAATTTAGTGAAGTGGTCCGAACCCCTTCAAAGGGTCATAATGTAAAACTGAGGGGTTGTAATATAGTTAACAAGAGAATAGTAGAAAAAAGTTTCACAACTAAAGCTGTATGGATTTTGGGGACCTTTCTTTGACCTTTGCCTTTTTTCGCTAAATATAGTAGAGTTTTACTTCTTTGTGCCAGGAACAGTTATTTAAATGAAACCATGTGAGGAGTTTAGAGGAGACACAGGTTACAAGCCGAAACTGCTCGAAACTCAATATTTAACAGGGCATTTTATTTCACAAGTTTAATATATGTTTTTAAATGTAAAACGTCAATCTGAAAAAGTACAGCTATCAGATAAAAGTAGTGGAGTAAAAAAAAAAGAATAAAATGGAAATGCTAGTACCTCAAAAGTAAATAGAGACGAGGAGGCCTGGTTAATGGCGGCTAGCTAGTCCACCTGTTAAAACAAATCAATGCACCTGACTGGCCCCGGTTGGGCTGACAGCCCTTTGTTCACAGAGGATGACACTTCAGAAACACCAATTAACAAAACCCCAATAACAACCCTCAAACAACACTGGGCCTATCGACGTTGTTTCACTGACCACTTTCAAATCAAGGACGCCATCCTTAGCTTCTTGTAGCAGACTGACAAACTTCATTGTGAGGAGCCCCAAACTTTTCTCGTGTCGACTCGGTGTCGAGCGTATGGTCTCCGTCGTCTCAAACTCCATCTTCTTTCTAAATGTTTAACTTATTTTTTAATAATGTTTAACCTCAATTAACGGACATTTCTTTCCATTCAGGTACCGTCTCTGTTATCTCAATGGGACGACGGCAGGTACCTGTGGGTTTTTAAATGAACGGACGTTACGTTATGTTACAGTTGCCACGACAACCCTTGTCCCGCTCTGTCAAGCGCTCCCTGTCAGTGAAGCCCCGCCTCAGTCCAAATTCGACCCCGCCCTCTCCTTGTTCCACCGCACACCACATCAACTGACTGATCAATCGCTCCTAAATCCGAAATCTGTATTGAAGCCCGTGTCCGCCAACAAAATAAACATAATAGGAATGTTTGCATGATGAAAAATAACATTAAATAAATAAACATCAAAAATAGATAAAATAAAAATACTTGCCACTCGTAGTAAGTACAGCTCAGAGGTCAAGGAGGACTTAGCATCAGAATTTTGATTATAATGAGCATTTCTACTTTTTGTGTGTTACTTCCATGTTTTTTTTTCTTAATTTTACATTTGTGATAAGAGGTGCATTACAAAAACATCAATTATCCAGTAAAATTTTTAATGATTTACTTGAACTGGTCAAGGAAAGCATATTCACAAAGCAAAATGCTCACATACCAAAAAATTGTAGTAATATTAATAATAAATTCAAAACTTATATTAATTGATCATAAGATTAACAATTATTTAACACAGAACCTGATGTTCTCATTTTCCCTTTGCATAAACCCAATTCTGTTACGTGTTCTAAAAAAGAAAATAAAAATTTGCTCAAGAAAAAAAATTAGATAAATCATGATTTATCGAAATACAATAACTTAACATAAAAAATAAATAAAAAGTAGTAAATGTAATTGTCATAAAGAATAAATACAACTATCCACCAGTGTTTTAATTCATACATTTCTGTAGCAGCAAAACAAGACGTATTTTATGGGTTAGAAGTCTTTAAGTACACTTGTGAGACGTTTCATTTTCTCTTCCATGATTCGCTTGTTAGTTTCTGTCTCCTCCAGGAGCTGACGCATCTCCTCCTCCACGTCAAACACCTGAGGAGGACATGCACAATGCAGACAACCTCAGATGCAGCAAACACATGTGACTTCTTTAAACTGCTTCATACGGGATTTTCATGCTCTATAAGTCATCAAATTCAAGCATTTAAGTGACTATGAATGTGGTAAGCCAAATTGAAACCATGGAGGCCTGTTTTAATCACAAAACTGTCAAAAAACATTTTGAAACTGCAGATCTCCATTATTTAGGATTAGTAGAATTTGTCCTATTTCCTTAAATGTATTCATTTTCAAGATGTTATTTTTTTCTCAAATCCAGACATTCTCAGCTATGTCAGGAATGTAAACCTTTCCGTGACAAAATCTTTCCCATTAAGCGTAGTGCATTATCAATCCAACAGTGAAGCAACTGAGACCTTGCATGGAATGATTGTGTAGCTGTCTCTCCTCTAGCATGGTCACCTGTAACCATTAGTAACCACTTTCAAAACTGCTCCTCTTGAGCATGGTGAAGCAGATGAAACATTAGAAGATAACATTACTGTACCATAGCAAATATTAAGACTATTTCAATTAGAATGTGTACAATATTTACTACAGACGGACTATTCCTTCATTAATACTAGCATGAGCATGATATCCTGGCTTTCCACGTTTCTCATATATGAATACAATGGCACAAATCCAAAAAACTTGAAGGGAAACTGGGAATTTCTGTGGAGAGTGTCTATATTTTACCTTTTGATTGGCTTGCTCTATCTGTTTCTGCTTTTCATTAGCCATTCGCAGCAGCTCAGCTTGATGGGAAGCCTGGATAGACTCAAGTTGTCGACGGAAAGCATCATCCACACAGTGCAACTTCTCTACTGCAGCCCTGCAGAACAGACAATCACAAACAAAACATAATATTACATAAGGTGAGACATAAGGTGGATGGTGTCTAAACTGCCTTGTGTGCAATAAGCTTACACTAGAAGAATTATTCAATTTATAGAACTGTGCCTGCTCCATTAAAAACAATTAGTTAATATAAACATGCACATATTTGAAAACCATATATATGAGATGGGATTTAACAACTGTGATTGCATTTATTGCATCCCAAACCTCCATTATTTGTCATATTCAACAATTTTCAACCACTACCAAAAAATAAATAAATAAATAAATAAAAATAAAAAGACAAAAAAGACGAATATGTTTGGATTATGTAGGCATGATCCTTGAGACACAGATGTGCCTGGACCATGTGAGTGGACTGACAGCAGTATGTGCAGGCCCAGATTAGCAGGTGGGAAATGCTGAAGAGAGATTTGCTCTCCTCTGACACTGCAGCATACTTGTGGGCTTCTGTTGCTTTATCTCTTTCTTCCAGCAGCAAGCATTCCTTGGAATCAAAGTTGTCTTTCATACGCTTCACCTGGCTCTCCAACCGAGTGAGCAGGTCTGCTTTCTCCTGCCACTTCTTACTGGAATCACTAAATAGAGACAACAAAACAGAAAACATTACGGTATTTCAGGAAGTAGCTGCTACATCAATGTTTGAGCAGCAGCAGCAGCAGCAGCAGCAGCCTTTGGCCATGAGGGTTTGGGTCAGGTTGGCATCTAAAATAAAAATATTACTACAGCATTCAATTTTACTTTTATATGGTGTTTTCAAATAACTTTTTAAAATACAATGATAAATTGATTATAATGGACCTTTTTATCCTTGTCTCACTTAATTTGCCACACACGCAACACTAGGGCAGAACTTTTTGCACTAAGTATAGTGTATTTGTGATGGGACCCTTGCCTGTGAATTCTTTTGACCTCCTCCAGCTCTGCCTCTCTGTCCTCCAGCTGCTGTTTCAGCTCCTCCTTGCGCAGGCTGACATGTTCTAGCCGCTCTCTCAGCTCAGCCTGCCGTGCTGTTTCCTCCTCCTGCTGCTGCTGAAAACTCTTCTGGGCCTGGACTGCCTCCTCACGCAGCCTACGGATCTGATCGTCACGCTCCTGCAAGACCTAAACAGCAGGAAGGTGGTGGAGGAAGAGAAACTGCCTCAGTGTGTCTCAAGATAAAAACAGGTTAAGACAAGACAGATAGATTCATACACACAAATGCCCATAAACATACACGAACTCTCAATGCTCATGGTAGAACGCACAAACATGAAAGTATGACAGGTTCTGGTAAGATGTTTGTCTTTTGCTGTGCTACCTGTTTGAGTTTGCGGATGGTCTCTGTCTGGTCATCAATGATTTTGACTTTGATTTTGAGGGCATCATTGTCCCTCTCATTCTGTTTCTTCTGTGTCTCCAGCTCAGTGCTCAGCACCTCTATCCTGGCCTCCAGGCGCCCACGGTCCTGAGCTAAAGATGCTCCTAGCAAAGAGATACACATACAATTGTAAACCAGATCATGTCTTTAATGATAGAACTTGTGAAACTGTTCTATAACTTTTAGGCCTTTATTCTTTATCCTTTACTATATTTTCCTTTTCAATGTCTTTTAAAAGCGGTTTTCATTTCATGTAAATAAATATGAAAGTGTGTCTCACAAGTCACCACTAGATGGCATGCTCTACTTGATACAAATGAAATAAAACATTAGTACACTATTAAGCCAAACAAATAATGCCTCCTTCATATGGACAGTGTGACTTACAGGTCAATACATTACAGAGTAAGTTATAGTCTGTAAAAACAAATAAAACTCGCTGACTGTGTCCGACGCACTGTACAGCTGATTCAAAGTACAAGTGCTCTCCCTGCACGTCTCCCACCTTGCTGAGCGAGCTCCTGGCCCCAAATCCTCCTTTCTGCCCTGAGGCCATCTATCACTGACTCCTGAGCTGTGAGCTGAGACAACAGTCGCGCCTTGTCTTTCTTGAGCAACTCGAGCTGCAGGCTGTGACGCCGGTCCCGCTCCACCTCTGCTTCCAAGGAATGCAGGCGGCTCTGGCAGAGGGACAGACATGGAGACAGTATTAATGATCAACAGCCATCTGTCATGGCTGGCAGATGGAAAGGCAGCTGGACCGTTCAGTATTTATGATGTCCCAAAGTAGTCAAGTCTCCTACAGGCGCAGGCTGAACAGTTTTTGAAAAGGCAATGACTGATGCCCAGGACCGGTCATCTCCATCTTATATCATGTGATTTTTTTCAAACCTGAATTAATTTACCTAGAGGTTTGAGGAAAAAAAATCTCCCTGTGCTGTACCTTTAGATCAGTTACAGCGTCTCTTTTGGCTTTGATGAGCTCAGTGATGCGGTTCTTCTGTTCTTTGACCATGGCTGTGAGCTCCTGCACCAGACAGCTTGATTTTTTCTCCCTCTGCTGGGACTGGGCGACGGTCGCCTTGAGCTCCATCAGCTCTGCAGTCATCTGATCACAAGCCTCTTTCACCTACAAAAGCAGAGTGTAACTGAATGTGAATAAGGCAGCTAGCAGTTAAACAGAGTGAAGGACTTTTGGTTCAAGCATTACCTGATTGACAATTTTATCAATCAATGTCACTTTTGAGGTCTCACAGAGAAGGTTTCAGTGTTGCAGATTTACAGAGAGCAATCTTTTAGAGGTTTTCATGAGTGAAGGTGTGGCTTGCAATCTGTATCTCATTCAACTTTTCTCAAAGGTCAAAAGTTTGGAGACTTAAACTAGAAAATTGTGCAAGCAGTAGCAATCAAGAATAAGATTACATTTTGTGCCAGGGCTGAATGAAATTGGTAACCATAACGAAAAAGTACAGATTGATTCAAATCCACTCCCTTTGTATAGCTTTCTTCCTGCGGCAATCACAGACTACTTGTCCAGAGTCAAATGATCCTAATTCAATTTCAGCTTTCACCATCAGTCTATCGAGATTGGGGTCAATTCCAGTTCAATCATTTCACTTTTCACTGGACACAGTAATCTTTTATCAGCTGGACTGTACAGAGAATATAATGAAAAATTACAGGCCATCTGTATGGCTGTTGTCCATCTTTTAGCAGACCTCAGAGAAGCGAGCAGCCTCGATGGTTAGTGCCATGCGGAACTCGTCCTCCAGAGCAGCGTACTGCTTCCTGCCGTCTGCCAGTTTCTCCCGCAGCTCTGCCTCCCTGTGAGCTTGTCTCTGTTCCACTGATGCAACTTCTTGCGCCACAGCATCACGGAAATCCGTCCCGCTAGGCTGCAAACGCAACTCCAGCTGTTTTCTGCAAAACAATGCAAACAGGCATAGTACATTGACCTGACTACTGGAGCACAAGAGTCTTCACATTGTAATTTGTGAGCAATAACCTGAAATTCTTACTGTAATAGGACTTTGTTAAGTGTTTCATTAAGGACTTTAAATAATAAATGAGACTGACATGTGTTCGCACAATATTTCATTTGGATATAGCAAACTTCTAAAGAAATTTTATATAAAAATCTTACAGTTGATATTAAACCACAAATATCATAAAAAATCCTCTTCTAGTGATGAGTATAAAATCCTCCAGATCTACCTGTGCTCTTGTTCCCTGGATGCGAGCAGTTCATGCAGCTGCTGCAGTTTGTCTTTGTGCTGGCGCACTGAGGCTCTCTGGATGTCCAACTCCCTCTTCAGAGCTGCTGCTTTGTTCTCCAGCTCCTGGTGCCGCTTCATCTGTGGAAGGTCAACACATGTTCTATACCAGCCTGTCACAAGGATCGACCCCCTCTGCTGAATCCTTTTATCTTAAGGATGGATCATTGAATGCTGTACTAGTATAATTAAAATCAATAGATAATAGGGTGTAACAGAATGATGGGTTTTTCATTTGCAAGAGTCAGTATAAAAACGTATAAGCTCTGTTTTTCTAGAATCACCGAACTAAATGTACACTGTCTGTATCAAAACAGAGATGCGAGTATTCTTGGGTATACTTAACCAGCTACTGTACCTCTTCAGCCTGCTGGCGAGTCCTGAGTGCCTCTCCATGGGAGATGCTTTCCTCCAGTCTGTGCAGTGCAGTCTTGCGTTGTTCTTCACTGCTGCGGGCCTGCTCCAGCTGCTGGGTTAGGGACTCACACCTCCCCTCCAGCTCCTCCACATGAGTCTGTAGTTCAGAGTGCCCCGATCGCTCCTTTAGCAACAATTCTTTCAGTCTGCATGGGAAGAAAATGATGATAAGAGTGTGCAAGAGATGCAGGAGTAATTTTTCGAATGTCTCTTTTTACTGTATATAGAAATTGGAACTACAACCAATTTTGTGATGCCCTTGACTGTCCTGTGTTTTATCTCTCTGTGTTAAAAATGTGATAGCATTTGAAATTGAAGAATTCTGACATTATACCATCATCAAAATCTTATCTTAAAGGAGAAAATAGAATTATAGTGGGAATGGAAAAGAAAAGTGATTATACAATAGGGCAGTCTGGTGGAAAGAAAAACAAGAGAAAAAACTAGCCTAGTAAGGGACAAGAAAACTGTAGGAACACTTCATATACATTAGCTCCCTCTTTAAATGTGCCATGATGAGTCATTTCTCTGTCATCTGTCTCCTGATGAGCGAGGGAGTCAACAGTAACAGCTGTGTTCAGTGTCATTAGAAAGTGATAGTTAAGATTGATTCATGTAATACTGCTGACATATGCTTGTCACCAGGCTTCTAATTACAATCATAATGCAGATTTATCTAAGCAGGGTGTGATACAAATGAGGACAGTGCAAAAAATAGTTACCTGACTCTCTTGATATATCTATGCAGTGCAGAAAGAAGGGATAGAGATAGGAATATTTAATTATAGATAATTATAGCCTCTGGCTATAATTTAAATATAAGGTATATAAGCTGGATGGGTGCGTAGGTTAATGATCTCTTTTACACTAAACAGCTTTATTATCACAGACAGCTGCACGAATATTTAAAGGTTTTGGTGTGATGAGCCAGTTTGTGTGCTTGATTTCATAAGAGGTTAGGGAAAAATGATAGTGAGGAATTATAATGGTGGGTTGGACACTCATTGTTCAGGAATGAGACAGGCATCAGGCTCTGGACTGAGGAGAGCCAATATAAAAGATGAAGAGGGTAGAAATGGATGAGAATCCATTATGCAGTTGACAACTAAAATCCACAGAGACAAGGTCAATTATCCCCTTTCATCATGATATCTGCTTTGGAGCTGCTGCAGCGATTCATGTGGAAGTTTGTGTGCATAGTGCATACATCTGTGTTTTTCTCTTACCGGTCTGTGGTGTGCAGGGCCATGCTCTGAAGGTCTTTTTCCTCACTGACCCTTGTCTGCAGGCACTTTAGCTCCTCTGTTAGCTTCCTCACAGCCTGCTCCGCCTTCCAACGCCTCTCCCTTTCCTGGTCACGCTCCTCCACAATTGTCTGAGCCCCACACACACACACACACACACACACACACACACACACACACACACACACACACACACACACACAAAAATACAAATACACATTGAGTTAACACAGACATAGATGATAGACATACAAAAAACTGGCATTACTTTGGCTTCAATTTGAAAAGTGGATTTCTGCTACATCTGACATTTTTATAGTTGTCCTCTAACCATAATGCTTGGTGATCAAAGGGATGAACAATTAAATAACATTGAATGTTTCAAAAGGTTTTTGAAGTTTTTGTGAGTTCCTGTAAAGAATACTAATAAGAATAAAGGGGAGAGCGACTGATTTTACACATCAAAGTCTGTTACAGGTCTGAGCTGCAAAAAGTCTGACACCATGTTGAATGATCATTATAAACTGTATATTTAGGGTTTTTTGGAAAAAACAAGACATCTGAAGATGTCCCCTTCAGCACAACAATGTTTCATAGACTAAATGTTTCAATTAATCAAAAAATATCATCAGATTAAAGGCTATTGGCTATGTAGCAATTGGGAAACTTACAAATGGCTTCTTTAACCAATCTTTAACCAATAATGAAAATAATAGGCCTATCCATCCTGTACCCTGTAGGTTTCCTCCTCCTCGGTGGACTTCCTTTTCATATCGCCTGAGGCCTTAGCAGCTCTCAGAGATCCACTCCTTGTTGGTCCAACTGCGTCGACAACTCCTGCACCACCAGGCTTCCTCCTGGGCGCCACAGCAGACTTTGAACTCCTCTGTTTATGATTCTCCTGATCGCTGCACATAAAACAAATCACAGAAATTGAACCAGCTGTAAAATTGATTATAAACACCCCTCAAGCTAATGTCTGGTTCAATAAAGGTCAGACCAGATGACTTTTTCAGGTAAGCAAAGTCTGAACAACTTTAAATTGAATTTGGAGGTAATATTCTAAAATCACCTTGCTTTAGATGAGGACAGTTGGGAGCTTACTTAAGTTAAATTACTGAATCTTAAGCACATCATCAGTGGCTGATGAAGTAAGATGAGGGTGTAGACCACAGAGGCATGGTCATTAATCATGGGAATGAGAAGACAGTTGTAATTTCTAACATAGAGAAGGAAAGTTTACCACATCACTCATAGAAGAAAATTTATCACCCCCTTTCAGCTGAGAGGTAAAAGGATTTCCTCTATCATAAAAAATACCTGATGATATTAAGTTGATGCATGATGTTCAAAATGAAAATATCTATTGCCACATATTGTGTTTGATTGTTATGGATGCTTTTGACTTTGTAAATTATTACATCATAAACACTTATGTGTCAGCAAACTTTTGCAAGTATATAAATGTGATTATCATTACTCAAAGGTACACTCCCTGACTTTGTTATAGTGTCCAACAGTGCTGGAAATGTCTTCAAACAGCTGAGTTTCAAAACATTAACAGCCACTTCTGAGGAATTTGGGGTGGGAGTTAGCTACTATAACAAAATCAGGGAGTCCAATCATACCATGATGGCAAAACAAATTATTTACACTAGAGAGTAGTTAACCTAAAAGCTGAAACACTGTCATGTGTAGAGGTATGCGGGCAGAGAATCACCTGTCTGATCTCCTGCCTTTGATCTCCATGCTGGTCGTCCTCATTGTTATGTTCTTACGATATTTGGGGATCCTGGTGCGCCTCCTGTTCTCCTTCCCGCTGTCACACTCACTCTCTGACGTGCGGTCTGTGTCCCTCTTGGCTTTTCGTAACGTCACCACGGAATGAGTAGAACCACTGGTTTTGTCACCTGCAGGGGCCTGGACAAATATTGCAGAAATACTGATAATATGCGTGAGGATGAAATAAATATTTGACAGATTATATGTTTAGATGAATACAAACTTATTAAAAAATAAATCAAACATAGGATGTATTTGATAGACACAAGTGCGTCTTTAAGATGAATGTTTTGAATGCAAAAATACTGTTATTAGTGATATATTATGTGCCTTATATTTCTAAACGAGGAGCCTTAGCTACACATTCAGGCCAAATGCTATTGGTTTCTACTTTGAAATAACATACCAGTGTCTGTGTGTCTCTTTACCTACTCCCTCCTAGAGTATACCTCACACAAAAGTTCCTTAATAAATGACTCAATGGCTTTCAGTAGTGTTAAATAAGCACCTTCTGGATGAGCTGCGACACCTGGTGCTCCAGTTTCCTGATGCGTTGTTCATTAACGGGGTCTGCTGGAGCCACAGCGGAATGAACTGGCTGGAAGCACTGGCGATCTGGTTGTGTGGCTGCATCTGTAATTGCTTCAGAGGCAATCCGCTGCCGAAACTGGGTCAGCACCTCGTCAATGCGGGGTGTGGTGAGAGGGCCGTCCCCTCTTAGCTGCAATGGAAACTTAAATTGTATTTTTCCCCACTTGATTAAGAACATGGTCTTACATCAGGTTACCTACTACGGCTGTGTCACACTCCACTCCAGCTAATTTAAACTGGAAATTGCCATCTGGTGCAATGAATATGTAAAGTAACTTATTACTAAAGAGATCAGATTCCCCAACTTTTGCTATTCTGGTATAAATCCACTAAATTACAGTATACTCCAACAATTCAGACTTTTAAACTTTATACTTGTTCAATAATATGACACTGTTTTTTCTACTGTTAGCACTTTCCAAAAATGAGAGGACAGGCTGTGCAGTGAAAAATCACACTTTTTTTTCTGAAGGTGTGAATTAATTTTTCAAATCCAAAATATACAGATATGGACAACAAGTCTAGCAAAGATTAAATGAATAATTAAATGAAATGCCAAAGTCATTTTGTATCACATTTCAAAAAACATTTTGTGAGGCATGTAACGGTTGTTAGGTCAAACTTCTTTCTCTCAGGCCTCTAAAGTTAAATTACATTGCGCTCTATATGAATGACTGTAAATTAGCTGGGTGTGTTCTTCAGTGAAAGAAATAACTGCATTATGGTTACTATATTAAAATACATAATTGTCTAAATTAATAGTAGTATGGTATCAATAATTACAGCTTCATTGTGACTTGTATCTGAGGAGAGCAGGAGGTCCACATAGTCCTCCAGACCAGGGATATCACAGGGACTGCCTAGACCTGGATGTGATGGATTTCCCAGCCGGTCAAGGCCATCCAGGACGGAGATCTGTGGCAACGACTGCATAACGATCTCCCTGTAATCTGCAGCATGACAGACACACACATACATACATTTAAAAAACCAAACCTGACTATTGCCCGACTAAAACATCAAGTGTCACTGTGGTTATGTTGCATAAAATCAAATAATCCATATCTAAATGAGTAACCTCTCTTGTGCGTGTGCTATCCACATATTCACTATTGATGCGGTTCATTTAATGAGAACTGAGCACTGCTAACATTGGTGTATCTACACATATTGACAGGGAGGGTTGTAAGAACGCTTTAAGTATGCTCTCATTGATTTAAAGAGATACTTTAAACAACTACTGCAGTGCATTAATCATGAACAGGAGGATATGGATAATGGGTGCTCAGCATAACAGAAGAGATTTTTTACATTAGTACAGCTGCTGTCAATCGAATTATGAAGAGACAGGGACAGGAAAACACATAGAGAGACTACAAGTCGTTACTATCAGTGGCTGTCGATTTGACTACCACTGATTTTCACTGTGAATTCATTACAGACAATAAAGGAGATGGTGAGTGAGTCAGTTATTCTACAAAATCCAACAATTATCCCCTGGAGTAGTAAGTGATTCATCAAAAACAGAGAGAGGAGAAAAAATCTGCAGGTATCACATACTGTTGATGTCTATTATTACACTTCTCAAATGTCCAACACCTAAAATCTTTATTATACACTAAGCCTCCAGTTTATTATGTATACCTAGGTAAAATGAATGTGGTCAACAACAGACCAGCAATAAATCCTATTTTCATGTTGGACGAGTGTTCAAACTATTTTAGAGTGTTGATTTTGGAGGCTGTGGTTTGTGTGCCTGGGGCTGTTCCTAATATTTAGTTCACCCTCACTGATATACATGTGGTGGACAGAACAGCTAATTATAATGCCTCCAAAAGTACCATAAAGTTGTGTGTGCGTGTTCAGTGCTGGAAGTATTTTTGTTTGTTTGTTGTTTAGTTTTTTTTTCTTTATTGTATCAATGATGGTGAGTGCTAGTATGGGGTGTAGAGGTATAGTCTGCAAAAGAAAAATAAGATATATTTTAGGAAGGTGTACCAATTAAACTAGCAAGTGAGTGTAGTCTCTGTGTACACTAGGGCTGCCACTAACAATTATCAGTTATTTGATTAACATTCTTTTTCTGCAAAATTGAAGTAAGAAGTGGAAAACTGTGTTATGATTTCCCACAGACAAAGGTGCCATCTTCAAATGTCTGAAATCCAAAGATAGACAGTTTACTATCATGAATGACAAATGAAGCAATAAATTCTCACACTTCTGCTTAAAAACTGACAAATGATTATTCAAATGTCAAGATAGTTGGTGATTTTCTGTTGAATGACTAATCGACTGATTTGTGACAAAGATATGTCTTGAAAACATGGTAGATGGCAGTTTAACAATGAACCTGACATTCTTCACAGTCTCAGCACCAGACATTTTAAATTACCTAGCACTTTTGATTGAACCATGCAGTGTTTGTTTTTGTTTATTTTGCATATCAGCTCATGAACCCATACAGTATATTTGTAAAAGGCTGTTATTTACAGGGAATATATTGGTCTAGGTAAAAGTGTACTCCAAAATAAAGTTTTTATGACCTACCTGGTGACCTACACACAGGGTTGTCTCTGCCATCCTGGCTTAAAGTCACCTCTCTTACACTTTGCAATCCCAGCAGGCACTGAAGCAGTTGATCGATGCGGTCCAGGTGGTTGCTATGGAGACTGAGGTGCTTCAGCTTGTACTCTGTGCCATGAAGATACAACAACCCTGATGGGAAGATCAGGAATCAACAGCATTGGCATGTCAATCACTTGTTAATGTTTTCATTTGAATGCAGAAAAAGAAACTGTTCAGTCAGAATTGAACTCACCAGTGAGGTTATTTATCTGATTGTAGGACAAGTTTAATCGTGTTAAGTTCACAAGGCCATTCAGTCCTGTGGCACAGAGAGAGGACATTAACAACTGAGTGATTTTACAGCTCATAAAGCAGTTACAGCAACGTCAGAGTAAACACAAGAGCCAGTGATGAAGAATTATTACTTGGGGAACTCCCACAATGTTGAAACATTTATTATCCGACTAAAATGGTGACTAAAGACTCACCTTCAACCTTGGTGATTAAGTTACAGGATAAATTTAATGTTCTCAGGGAAGTAAGGGAACTTAGACCTTCAATCTTAGAAATACAATTGGAAGAAAGGTCTAAGTGCCGCAGGTGCCAAGCTGAGGTCAGACCCTCGATCCTTGGGATGTGATTGCAGTGCAGACTGAGTGATGTTACAGTGGGAGTCAAGGGAACATCCAGCAAACTAGACAAAAGGCAACAAGGGGAAACAACAGAATCACCATAAAAGAAAAAATAGTTTCATAACTTAACAGCCAGAACCATTTTGATCTGCAAGAAAATGTCCTTCAACCTTAGAGACAACAATTACTCTCTCTATCAATGAAACTGTAATTTTTTTTTGAGTTGTCAATTAGTGGTTTAGTCTACTAAAAAGACCCAGAACTGCAAAATTCAAAGTTTCCCAATGTCCTGTTTTGCCTGACAGTCTGACCTTCTCCACTATGCCTCATAGGAACATTTTCAACTTTTTACTTCATCATTTCAATCTCACTCATAGTTACAGGCCACTTTGCAGATTTAGATTTCATGTACAATATATTTAGTTTTTTTTTTAAAATCAGGACTTAAAATTATGGTAATACAACCTCTATTTAAGTTGGGAATAATAAAAACAAAAAGCTGTGATTAGTTACCTTGTTATATTCTTGTCGATAAGACTCAGCTCCTTGTCTCCCATAACGATGACTATGATGCTATTTACGTGTTTGTACTGTCTGTGTGCTGTTCAACATCAAGTCTCTTGACAAATAAAACAAACTGCTGTCAAATTAAGTTAAATGTACAGAAGACTTGGGAGGAATGAGCCGACACAACTCAATCTTTAGCTACGTAAACTAGCAGCCTAGCAAAAGTTTACTATCGACCGAGCTCAAAGGAGGCTTACTCATTCAAACCCGTCTTCAACCTACAGTTACAAAAGCTGGGACAGCCAACAACTGGAGCGTTATATTTTCTAACACGCAAAATAGCATTGTTGAGATCGTTAACACATTTCTTGTTGTTGTTTGCAGCCTCGGTCGAGTTGAACTGGCCGCTTCTAGCATTGGACTTCCTGTTTACATGACGTCGTTAACGGCAACATCCGGGACACTGAAAGACTCTGTCAAAGGCTTTCTTGCAGGTCAGCGCAGAGGATTTTAAAGTATTAAAACGTCTGATTAAAGATGGACCTTAGGTCAAATATCTCAGACAGTGCACTGTCAGTGTTTTGAATAATTTGAAACAGAGGAGCAAAGTACCAGAGCAGGAAGTTCTAGAGCGGTCCATGGTGAAGCACAAAACGTACATTTTCCTGCGTGAGTCTTTTGTTTTGTTTTGTTTTTTTGTAGAATAAGTATTAACAAAAGCTCCTGTCAAGGGTGAAACTATATCTGCCCTTGGATACAATACTAAAGCAACCAGTTTTATGAATCTGTTTTATTTTTAAAAGAATATGTACATGTATGTAAGTGATTATATTATATTTAACTTTTTGCAAAGTACATGCACAGCCTGAAGTCTAACACTAAACATAACAAAAACAGAAAACTATTCAAATAGATTTAAAGGGAGAATTTGCCTTCACATCACAATTGTTAGATTAGGTTTCCACGCAAGAAGTATTGTAATCTAGGCTGTTTTGTAGATCACTTGTTACATACATCAGAGATAAGGGGTGGAAAAGATGACCTCATCTCAAGGCTTATTTAGTAGCTGTTCTGGAGTTTTTCATCAGATCACACAATCTTCATCAGCAGATGAAGTTTACCCAGTTGCCATTTAATTACAGATGTTCAAATGCGAAAGACCTCTTGAGTATGTTGACGTAAAAATTTAGCTTGACAATAGTTAATGACACGATAATATTTAATAGTTTGGTATGTTTAATAGACCCAAATTGAATAGGCATCTCAAAACCGGAGTTCAAAATATATTAAGAAATAGTGCTAATAGAGGATTAATAGTGGCATTTGGCCTCTACTACAAAGTTGTTTGAAGTGCTGCATGTGGACACAAATATATGTCACACCTCACAAATATTTTTAAGTGTCATGCAAATGAGCCAACTGTGACAAATTTTTATCATCCTAAATGTGTATGAAAGGGAAAAATATGACAAAATTTAGGGTATCATTAAAGTCAGAGTGAAATATATCAACGTTGACCATAGCAAACAAAGACGATGATAGAAGACAGTCTTTGCAATTTTGAAATTATTCATAGTGTAATACATTAAATATAAATTTCTCTTTTTATGCTTTCTTTCCCTAAGAAGTAATTCATAAAACCTGTTTCATTACAATCTGTCTTTGTATTATAGGCCTGTTAAACAATGCAAACTGTTAGTTGTGCATCCTTGTTCAGCTATGGCTAATCACAGATGTATTATAGAGATCCTGACCCCTATTATACTCATAATTCATCTAGCAGCTACACGGGCCGGTGATTGATTCAGTTCATCACACACTGAACCTTGTCCTTATTAGAGGAGCTGCATGACTGATCATTGTACTCACTGGCTGCTATCCAGTGATGATAGAACCAATTATACCTGCAACCTTGCCAATGGCCCTCCTTAACCTGTGAAAATGATGATCTGGTGCTAATGAAGTGAGTGAATTAGAAATGCCATCTGTTGCTGCCTCGCCACCACTTACCTCTCATAGGCTGTAGTTTTCAAGGTCACTGCATTAAAAAAACTTAGATGAATATTCTCATAGCCAATTATAGAATAGGACTAATGTATGGGAATCCTATAATTAAACTTGAGTGGAGAATTTATACATTTAGCATTATTCTGTGCCTTATTTTTCACCTGTCTACGGTCATTTGATTTGGAAATGGTTTGAGGGTGGAGGAAAAGTCACGCAAGTATTGAGTCACACAGTAAGTTTGCAATTATGTTATGCAAAATTATCTTGCTGTAGGATGAACCCCTGAAGCAACCAGTCAGTCCTCCTTTGTTATTTGCCCTTTTCTCATCATTCTGATAACAATATGCAGCAGTACTTCCTGCAGTATAGTATTGTCCTAATAATGCATGAGGGTGCAGTAACACAATCTGTTCCAACACTGCCTTTGTGCAGACAGAGGAATTGTAAGTCATCAACAAAAGTTGGGAGACCTTTAGGAATTGTTTGCTTTAACTTTCCATGCTGCATTTACTTCCCTTGCTGCAGGCAAACTGAGTTAATCCCTGTTTTCGAAATGAATGAAATTACATAACTTTTCAATTTTTGGTGAATTTTTGTCTTTTTAACCTTGGGTGGTTTACTAGTTCCCTTTGTACCATCAAAGGTTATTCACTGGACTTGAAACTGAAATAATTGAGATGTTCTAAAACCTTTGGTTAAAAAAAAAAAAAAAAAAAAAAAAAGATTGCTGAAGTTGTTTTGCAAGCCTTAAGTTAAAGTAAGGTTTTTGTACTGAGCTAAAACACAGTCTGCAATGTTTTTTGGTTGTTTGTGAAAATGAAAGCCACAACACTCAGACACTTTTTTTTTTTTTTTTTGGGGAGGAACGTGTTTATTTCAAAAACTGTTGTCATCCATAGCTGTGACAGATGCAATGAATACAAACGATCCATAATAGCCACGTTTTTAACATGCTGATAGTAAAAAATAGTCATCTTTTGATTACCATAAAGAGATTGTAAACAGAATTTTAAAATGCATCTTATCGTGTATAACAAATGACAAACATGATATGCATACAATACTGTGTGGAGACATTGTGAATAAATTACATACTGTACATTTCAGCAAAATGTACAAATAAAGCAAATCACATAATCAAGTGTAAAAGAAAATGTGTTCCTCATACATTCATATTTAGCTCTCTGCCAGCGTTGTGGCTCAGTTACAGTTTTCAATGCACAGAAACAGAACAAACATACAGTTGCAGTACAACAGAGGAGGGCATCTCATGGTTCATCTGATTGATAACGTAATTGTATTTTTATGCACAATACAGACCATAATATATTAAGCACACAATATACTGTATTGTCCTTATTTTTCAGAACGGCAATCACTTTGAAGGGAAGTTATTGATTGCTCTTTGAAGTTGATCTTGCTGTAGTTTGGAGAATATTCATAACCAGCGTTTTCATGAAGTACACATCAGGAGTGTCATGTTCTAATGAGGCAAACAAGCAACAAACAGGTTTGAAAAACTCTTCTTTCTGCCGTCATTGCTTTCCTTTATTTCAAATACATCTCCTTGATCAAGAAGGTGTTGCTGGTATCTGTTCTCCCAACTTCATGTACTGTAGGCTTCCTTTCTCCCCACTTGAAAAAAAACAGACAGACTGCAGTGAAAATTCATTGTTACTGTCATACTGTCTTTCACAGCAAACATATGGGGAAAAGGTGGCTGCAGGTTCAGGTTAGGTAGGTGGAAAAACAGAAGAGGCATGGGGGCTGTGACTAACATTTAAAATAAACTAATGCTAAGAGCTCCTGATATTACCTGCAACCACTGACTGAGATATCCACCCGAGGACAAACAGTTCATTATGCCATCAACTTAACAATCTATCATGTTCAGAGCCGCTGAAAAAGCTTTCTGTTATCGGGCACTTGAGGACAGCGGGGAGGAAATGTCAGCCAAGAGGCAAATTAAATCTCACAGCTATTTGTTCATAAAAAGAATATCAGGGGAGATTTAAATGTCGTTTGATGGAAAGTGCGGATGAGACAGAGTCCTATCTCTGTGGCTGTTCAGACAGTCATCAGTGATAACTGCAGAGAAGCTGCCTTTCCATACGCTCCCAGACGGAGAGAATGACAGTCCATTTAGAAGAACAGAGTGGGGGATTAAACTGGAAGGTGATGAGCAGTGTTTCTCACACTCTCGCTCTGCTTAAAAGTATAGAAACAAGCTGAAGATCGTTTTGAGTTGGTGTTGCTGCTGTCTGAATTGTTGGGCATTCTTGAAATGAAATTGTTGAAAACGTATGTTGTACAGTGATTGGCTTGTTTGCTTGTAAGTAAAGAATTCTATTGTGCAAAATAGTAAGATTAAATACTGACCTTACTCAGTTGTCAATGTCTGATATGTGGTTCTCTATCTGCAATACAAGAAAAAAAATATATATTATGAGATGAATGTAGACATGACTGGGATACATTCTTGTAAGTGGAACATTAAGAAAAACATCTATATAGTTCATGCCTTTCTTCATCAGAAAATACAGATTTGGTTGTGTGACTGGATTTCCAGGCATTTCCAGCATCCATATGTTTTAATGTTCTGTAGGTGGCATCTAGTAGCATATGTCAGAGGCTGTTCAGCCATCAATTCAGGGCTTCAGATTTTTTTTCCCCATTTAAGAGAAATACCATACATGTAGGATACAAAGCATTTTAGATTTTGATCATTTCATATCATCAGGAAAGAGACCCAAGATCCATGATGTCAGTAGAGATGATGTCAAAGAAACCAAGGACTGGATTATTTTTTACCCAGAATAGCACTTCCACGTACAATGTACTAATGTCCCCTCCTCTGAGCCACATTTTACAAGTGTCCTGATTACATCCATTTAATCAGTGTAACAAACTGTTTGAGTTTGTTAAGGAGTTTAGTGTTGGAACCTTTTGTTTTGTGTTAGTGTCATTGTAGTTTTGTGGGGTGCCTCAGGGGCACACCTGGTAGAGCGCGTACTACATTGGCTCGGTGCCATGGGTTCGAGTCCGACCCGTGGCATTCACTGCATGTCATCCCCTCTCTCCCTCCATGCATTTCCTGTCTATCTCTCACTACACTGTTGAAATGTGGTTATAGTTTTATTTAGGGTTGTTATTTTTGTTATTTTGGCCTTGGCTCTCCCTGAAATTATACTGTGCTTCATGTTTGGCAATAAATCTTTGAGAATCTGAATAATATGACTCCTCGAGTTCTTTATCTAGTCTTATGCTACTCCCCTTTCCCCTAGACCAGCTTGGGGTCATAACAACTACAGACATAAAAAAAAAAATCGCTTGCAGGCATTGTATTATAACAACCAGCTCTAGTAACAGGAGAAACAGTTATTGATTGTGTATCGGGTCTAGTTAAATTAGGAGATAAATAAATGTAGTTCACACTAGGACACAATTTATCCTTTAAAGGAATAGTTGGACATTTTGGTCTTAGCTTAGCACAAAGAATGGATACATGAGGAGCAGGAAACCTGTCTCTTTCCAAATGTAATATAATCTGAATACCAGCACCTCTAAATCTCCCTAACTAATATGTTATATCTTGTTTGTTTAATCTGTACAAAAACCAAAGTGTAAAAACAACAATTTGTCTCGTTTCCAGTCTTTGTGCTAAGCTAACTGGGTCCCAGCTATAGCTTCACATTTACTGTACAGACATGAGAGTGATATCATCTCATCTAACTCTTCACCAAAAAGAAAAAGTACACAAGTGTATTTCCCAAAATGCCTGAGATTGTGATTTATTAAATAAGATGTACAGCTAACACACACACACACACACACACACACACACACACACACAAAAAAAATAACTTGACTTGGACACATTTGCATTTACTTCAGACACAAGGGAACTCAGTAACCCCACTTACTCCTTGCTGAGACTGGAAATAGTTACTTGGCCTGCTCACCATGTCGCTGGTGCCTTCATCTTCAAAGTCGTCTTCGCCGCCGTCCGTCATCTCCCCCGCCTCCACCTCGGCTGTCCCCTCTGCTTCCTCTCCACCAGAGTGGTCTGCTGCATCTCCATGGAGACATTCACACACCTCCTCTTGTTTCCTCTGTATCTCTGGCAAAAGAGAAAGAGAGACAGAGAGAGAAAGATTGGCAGTTAAGATCAGAACATAATAGATTTATTGAACTGAGCTTTTTTTCAGACAAGCTACTCTATAAGCCTTTGATATTTTCTATATCCCTTTGTCCTTTTTCCTCAAAGACTCTGCATCTTTTATTTTGATACCTAGTGAGCACTCTCTGTCTTTTCCCAGTGTATACATGCAAAGCCCTCTAGCAGACAGGCTCTCCCTCCCCTCTGTCAAATCTTACCGGCGTCAGAGCGATGTTGCCGCTCAAACTTCTCCAGCCTTCCCAACAGTGAGTCGATCTTGGTCTTGATCTGTGACAGCTCCTTTTTGATTGTTAGGAGCTGGTCTGTCTTCACTGTGAGCATACATTAATAAAGTTAAAAAAGCATAGTTAATGTGATGTTTGACAAGGAAACAGACACAGTGACAGCAGCAACAGCTGCTGCACTGCACTGCACTGCTCTGAAATGTCTTGAAGGGTAAGTTCATTGCCAGAAATGTGGCTGAGGCTCAATCAGTAAAAGGGCATGGGGAAGAAAGTTTGATATTTCACTGTCCTGCATTGTGGGGAGAATACTGATTACTATCTGTACGAGTATGAGCAGTGCAAACTATGGAACAATTGAAGAAAGGTTGATTTCATACAACATGAATCATATTTTTGTAGTTTTGGCCACCATTCTGCAACAATAACACTCTACTCACCAACTTAAACTTGTATTAATTGAGAGCAGTACAACAAACTGTGAACACCTCATAAAGTTGCTTATTCACACATCCAGCAGACACTAGCAGTGATTTATAATCAGTTTCAGATAAATATCTAACTCTTTAACTGCTAAATGTTCCACTATGTTTACCAGCTAGTCTTTGAATGACAACCCTTTGGTGCTGTGCTGGAAGCATACTGTGGGTTTATCAGAGACGGTGTTTGTTTGCTGAAAACAATGCTAAGACTGGTGAGAATGAACCAAAACATTGAAGTTGCAGCTGTAAAACCAAAACACTAAGATGAGAAATCTCACATTATACAAGGTCAGTTGAACCATTGATAATATAAAACATATTGCTGAGAGCAGCTTTAATGGCTGAAATCTTGGAATGGCAGAAAGAAGAAATCGGCTTTTGCTGTTGGCTTGTCTACTACCTGTCTACAGCTGAAACAAGTAGTCGATGAGATAACCGACAGAAAATTAATCAGCGCTGATAATCGATTAAGAGTCCATTCCCAAGAAAAAATGGCAGAAATTCACTTCTTCCAGCTTCTTTGAAGTGAAGATTTGCTGCTTTTCTTTGTTTTCTATGACTGTAAACTGGTTTTTGAGTTTGTTACCTTCATCTCAGGGAAACTGATTTTTGATGCAAAAAAACAAATGCAAGGATAAGTTGCTTTTCTTCTTCTGTCTTATATGATGGCCAATTTAACATATTTGGGTTTTATAGTTTTGGTTGGTCAAAATAAAAATTTTCACTATTGGCTCTGGAAAATTAAAATGTATTTATCTATTATACAGACTAAATGATTAATCGATTAATTAAGATAATAATTGGCTGATTAAACAATAATGAAAATGATCATTTGTTGCAGTCCTAAACAAAATAACGATCAAAACTACATAAAAAATACAGAATACAAAAACAAAAAAGTGAACTAGAGGAACAAAAAGGGAACATACATTTAGGTCCTGTGATGGAAGAGCCAGCATTGAGCGCTCGAGAGGAGGACGAGGAGGAGGAAGAAGAGGAAGAACAAGCTCTGACTGGAAAGGAGGATTTGGCTCTGCGTGTGGACGGGACAACTAGTCGTGAACGTTTGATGGGGATCACAGCCCGGGTTGGAGGCACCACACGACCGTGGTACTCAAAGAGTCTGAAGACACATGAAAAATACAGTTGTAGCAATCTCAGCAACAATAGAAATGTTACAAAGGTATTACACTGCAGAAAACATGTTTTTAAAAGAAAGGGAGAGGTAACCGAACAGCAAAGTGTGTCATCAAGTTGCTGTTTTATTTCCAGTCATTTCTGTGGTGCATTGATGTTGTTATTCGAGCAACAAGAAATGCTTACAAAGCACCTAATAGACATGCTGCAAAAGATGTCTGAAGGATGGCTGTACATATTGAACAATGCCACAACCATTCAATCAAATGCTGTTCCCTGTCGCCGATGACATATCAAATTGCTAAAATAGCAATAATGATTCAAATCTGAAGGATTGACTCTCTGGGATATTGCAAATCAGAGGAAGTAAACAAACCAATGAAAATGTCAGAAGGAAGATGCATTCTTTGCCTTGCCAGCGCAAATGACCAGCTGGGGGACTATCTGACATTCAGTACTCGCCTATGCGGATAAAAGCATCATTAGTAAGCCCAACGGAGAGGAATAAAAACCTCCCCAATATGACATTCATTATGCCTATGATAATGTAGTTACTTGGCCTCAGATGGAAATGGGGCTATTCTGCTAAAAACTCATCTTTATCTAAGTAGCTGTCTTGGAAATGGGGAGAAAGGAGGGTTTACACTGAAGGGCAAAAATCATGAGAAAAGAGATTGAAAAAGCCATATGAAAAGTTAAAACAAAGTGCAAAGACAAAGCACAGCCTGACTGTGCTGTTATTTACCATTTACATACCTGCTGTAGAAATCGTCTCTGTAATAGTCATAGTCAAACTCGTAGCCACTGGGAACATAAACGAGAATTTTAATTTTGCAGTATTAAAATTATGCGATAAAATGTGTCACACACACACACACACACACACACACACACACACACACACACACACACACACACACACACACACAGAATGATTTATTTTGAGCTGTCTGAAATAGTTCAACATTATGGGAATTATGTTTTATTGCTTTCTTGAGTTAGATGAGAAGATGCCACTCTCATGTCTGTGCTGTAAAGCTGCATCCAGCAGCCAGTTAGCCTAGCTTAGCACACAGACTGGGGAAAAAAGGGTGGAAACAACAAGCCTGGCTATGTCAACATGAACAAAATCTGCCTCTCAAGTTCACTAACTCTTTATATGTTGTTTGTTTAAAAAAAAACCTAAGTGTACAAACAGCAACAAAACAAAATTTGCCATTTTGGGGTGGGTTAGTGCTGGGTTGTTCTTTTGAGTGAGAGCAGTAACAATCTTTGTGCTAAGCTAAGTGTGGTATCAGTATTCTCATGTAACTCACTTCGGCACAATAAAACCACAACGGGTGATTTTTGCACAGATTTAATAAATTAGTTGTTGATTTATGAGCTTTAGAGGTGCTGGAAGGCAAGTTTTGCTTCCTTTGGACAAAGAGGCTAACTAACAGGCTAGCTGTTTCCCCCTGTGTCCAGTCTTTGCGCTAACTAAACAGCTGCTTGTGTACAGCTTAATTTACTCATTTTCTCATCTAACTCTCAGCAAGAAAATGAAAAAGCATATTATTGTAATTTTTTTTTTTTTTTTTACTTATCAAACAAACAATATAAAGTGTTAATTAGTGAGCTTTAGATTTTGTTCATTTCTGACAAAGCCAGGGTAGCTGTTTCCCCCAGTTTCTAGTCATTTATGCACAACATAGCTAACTGTCTCCTGGCTCCAGCTTCATATTTTGCATATAAACATGAGTAGCGTCAGTTGTCTCATGTAACTCTCAGCAAGAAAGCAAATAAGCGCATTTCCCAAAATGTTGCACTGTTTCTTGAAAAGATGAAATAAACAGCTTTTTTGTGTTGTTAAGACATTGGTCCTGCCACACTGGATTTTCTTTGTTTCCAATAAAACTCTAAAATGTCAAGAGTGAGCAAAATGTGTGATAGCAACAGACACAAAGACAGCACAGGTTGGGAAGTGGCTGTTCCTTCACAAGCACCTGGCCTGCCAGCGAGGATCATGAGCACATACTTTACAGACAGCAGAAGGTAGAGTGAGAAAAGCAGGTCAGCAAAGCAATATCCAACTGATACAGTAAAATAAGACACACATTTCACGCAGACCTGTAGAGTGACGAGAGAGGCCTCTTGGAGCCCATCTTAGGCCTGTATGGTTTTGGCTCTCCTGCCATGTTGATGTCTGGAAACAAAATGAATATCAATGTTGTGATAATGATGCATTTAGTTAGTTTGAACTAGCAAACATTAAAAAAAAATATATATATATATTGAAATGATTAATTGATAGTTAATAGTTCTGAGTAATAGTTTGAGAAAAAGCTTTTGAAGATACCAATTTGACTCTGCTAAAGCTTCATAATAGCTTTGGATAAGCTTCAGAATGTATTTTTACACATGAAGAGGAGCAGGGATTCTGTGCCTCATGTCCTACATTGGAATTGCATCAAACAGGGATCTCTTTACAGTTAGTATAGACAGGGAAAATGATGTTATGTACTCATGAGCATTTATGTATTGTTTTAGAGCAGACTTGAAAAATGTAAACCTAGTCTTTAAATCAATAATTAAAAAAAAAAATTTGCAGCCTCGTTCCACACATTGGTCCAACACACATCTATTGTCAAAATCTCCAAATAGCTTATTTTAAGAAACTGAGAACATACTTCTTTATAGCTTGACCACCACCCATTTTTCAGACTAAATTGAAGAGGAACACGTTACTCTCCATTTGAAGTGAAAAAAGTGACAAAGAAAACCACACCAAGCAGCTCTCAGTATCCCAACTGCTAATTAGAGGATTTTCTTTTGAGGGGGAAAAAAGAGTGCAAGGTGAGATTAGAGGAAGGGCGTCACTGGCAAATGCTGGAGGGCTGATTCCCTTAAATCACTTCTCACTGTCTTCTAAATTTCACATCTCGGCTGTAATGACAGATTTGTTTTTCCATCTTAGAGGAATGGATTTCATGTGGGAAACTTTCCCAGCATTCCTTTACACAGAGCTGAAATCTTTGCAGTTAAACCTGCAGATTCGCAGTCACTGAAGAGGCAGAATTTCTTACTATACAATTATCAACCTTAAACTTTTTAAAGAAAGTATGTACAATGGCCATTCACTTTGATATCAAAGCCCTTAATATTGTTCAAAAACATGAATACAGTGGTATTCATCATGATGCCCGAAGGACACAAAGTCAGTCTTTGAAGCACAAACACATTTCACTGAATAGACAGTAGAGTCGGTACAGTCTGTTCTGTTTTGACAGTTGTGTTTTGTTGACGGAGATATAACCAAGTTCAATATAATCAACAATGCTGTGACATTTGCTGAACAAAATGTACTCAAGATATACAATGGCAGATAAAATGTATAAATATTCGACTGTTTGATTTCAGCATAATTTTGTTACATGCACATAACATAAAACATTTTACAGAAACACTATTAAGCTAAAACAAAAATGGTACAAGGAACTGAAAAATGATGCTGGTGTTTAGAAACAGCCATTCATTTATTGGCAAAACTTTATTTTGTGGGTCAGTGATTTCCTAAAAAAATTCCAGACAATATGAGATCATCATATAAATTTCATATCTTGTATTGGATTTGTAAGCAGTTGTTGACCTGAGGAGTTTCCTTTGCTTCCATGTTTCAAATTGTCTATAGTCTATAGATAAATTTCACATTTGTACATATTCAGCAGACCTGCTGTGCACTGACTTTAGGTTTCTGTAGAAAATAACTGGATAATTTGCTTTATTTTTTCAGTAATAATTTGTACTAATACAAGGAAAAATAATAATTTTAAAACAGGTAAAAATCCATGTTAGCCATGCATTCATTAATGCACTGCGATTCTTGTTGCTTTAAGTAATAATATGCGATTAGAACTATGTGTTGAGTTGATTTAGTTGTTGGCCCGAAATAAACATTTCAACATGTATATTGTATTTTGGTCAGGTATGTATGTACATGTATCATTAAGCACAAAGGTTTGGGGTTTTAATCTAAGACTTTGAGTTCTGCAGGTTATTGGGTCAAAGTGATCATTAAGAAAAATGAAAAGGGTATTGCCCGTTTCTCTTGTCAATACGCAAAGTATATCTCAAACATTAGAATATTCTTATTCTAATATTAATATTCTTGTATGTATGTATGTATGTATGTATGTATGTATGTATGTATACATACATACATACATACAAGAATATATTCTTTTATATATATATATATGTGTTCAAAATTAGTCAGGAAGTATAACTTAATGGTGGTGCATAAGGAGGAGTTTATATAAAAATTTTTTGAACTGCTGTTGTTTATAAATCTTTATTCTTATGTGAAGAAACTTTACACAGTCTTGTCACAAAAGTGCTATAAAGTTTGATTTTGTTAGATTTATTAGCTGATGTTGCAAAATCATTTTGGACTAATTAAATTAATTAAGCACTTTTAAGACAACATTGTATCTTCATCAATTGAAGATTTGGATGGAACAGAAAGTTGAAGAATTATTCACAGATGGCTATGACTGAAATTATAAAAAATAAATAAATGAACAGAAAATGAATGACATTATTACACTGGAAAGTAAAAGTCTGAGCAGTTTCTTGTAACAACTAGTCAAATGTGAGGAGCTGCCTTGTTTGATATTGTTTATGACTCAGACAAAATATGACTTTGAGGTCTGTTAACTAATTACGGGATTTCATTTAACTATTAATCAACTAACCAAAAGTTAAATTAATAAACTTTAAATAAATGAACTTCTTATGGAAGTGTTTGTTAGCTGGGCCTGTCTAAGCTCCTGCAGGGTTCTGTGTGATGAGACTAAGCAGGTGAATTGAGGTAGAAACCATTGATTTATTTAGTAAGTTCATATCAGTCCACCGTGGTCCTCAAAGACACAAACGGAGAGCGGAGAGGCTGAAAAGTTTTTAAAGATTTTAAGAGCCTTGAGACAAACGAGACATTGTGCAAAATAGAACTTTAAGTCAATGTTACGATAGTGTTTTTCACCCAAGTAGAAAGACAAAAGTAAAAATGTCCTTCAAATGCATTAGCGGACTTCTGTGACTCATCTGTACACACCTCATGGCTCTTCTGATGACTGACAGCTCCTTCTACCTGCCAAGAGCCCCTCTGCGTTAAACCGAGTTGGTATCGCTGGGTTTAGTCTGTCGGCTTGTTGTCACTGCTGATGCTCAAACTCAGCTCAATCAGCCTTGAGTGCTGCTCAAGGTCATACGCAAAAACACAAACAAATATCAAACACTGCCTTCGTCACACACACACACCCAGCCTCGCGCTGACAAAAGCGGGAGAAATCCCTGTGTGGTGGATGAGTCACCTCTTCATAGCTTCAAAAAGTTGCACGGATAAAACATCAGTTTTGCATCAACTGCCCTGGGGATCACGCTGTGGCAAATGTCATGACAGGAGCTGAAGTTGAGTCAATTCGCTGAAGGCGTCGCACTGGTTGATAATGAAATCCCGAGCAGTGGTGTTAATGCACTGAGCTTGATTAATAAAATGCAAAATATTTCAGACACAGTAAACAAGATCTCTCTTTTTCTTTGTTTGTTTTCACACCTCTGGCTCACATGCACACACACGAACGCACATATACACACACACACGCACAAGCAGCTGCACCTGTGTCTGGATCTTCCAACACATTGTCTGCAGATCACCCGAGGTACTATGTTTGGAGCCCGCACCGTCTCTCCCTCTTTCTCTTTATTCCCTCTTTTCCCTCCTCACTCTCCCTAATGGACTAATGGATTGGGGATGTATCAGTAGGTCTCAGGTGCACGGGGACCGCTGTATCATTATCATTAGGCTGGAGGAAGATGTGAGGAATGGTTCACATTGTAAAGTCTGCTCTCCTCTGGTCCCCTGCTAGGGTCATTAAAGAGAGAGCCGAGCAGTAGAAAGCAAAGTAAAATGAAGACTGCCACCTCACAACACCCCCAACCCCCGACAGACACACACCGAGCATCTGATTAATTACAGTCATTATACTAATCATACACAAAAATGGCATGAATGTGTGTATGTGCGTGTGTATGTTTGTATGTTTCCAGACTGAGTTGTTTAAGTGTGTAACCATAAAAAAAGTTGAGGCTGGAGATAGGGGAGATAGAGATTGTGTTGCTAAGCAATAGCCACTTAGGACTTGATTGATACTGTAAACTGTATGCAGCATTGCACTGAGAGGGAATATAAAAAGCGACTTCATGTTGAAGCCATTATGAGCGAGATGGCCGTGGCAGAATAACATCAAGACAAATTGACAGACTACATAAAAAGTCAGGCACAGATAGTGTAAAACCACTGGCCTTCCGCTTGACTCCTGAGAGGCTGTTCTTGTTCAGCGCTGGTTAAAATGTTATAGCTGCTAATGAGACAATGTTGTCAAGCTGTATTTGCACAAGACTCTTAACACCTGACTGCAATGTGCCAATAAGAAGGTTAAAGTTTTTACTGGCACAGCTCCACAGACCGAGCTTATGTATGCCAATATGAAATAAGAAAGAAGTATTACTTTATATGCAGTTCAGTGGACACAATCATATTGACAAAAATAAAACACTTTATAATACAGCCAGAGATTTATTTTATGAATATGGTACCAATAGAATATTTACTGGTTCCGACTGGTACTTGAAGACAAGACTCTGTGGATAAGGGAGTAACAAATGGGACTTTTAGAGGAAGGGAGAAATATATTGTACTACACTGGGTATCGTTGAGGTACAGTTCTGGACACAAGCCTTTCCCTTAGGGAAAAACTGTTAAAAAAGTTGGTTCTTACTGTGTAATTTAAGGGTAAAAAGAAAAAGAAAGACAGAAAAAGAAATAAAACAAACAAGATTGGTAATTTAAATTCTAATCCTTAATATCAATCCTAAATATAAATCCTGGTTGATTTGGCAACATCTGTGGTTCATGTTGGTTATAGAAAATGCACTATAGTACTAAAAATTTTCAGAATGCAAACAGCCCTTGAGTGGCTACTTGGTCACAAACGCAACTGGTGAATCTGGTTACAGATTTACATGGACTGAGAAGATCCATCACAACTTTTTTTCTTAGCATAAGAAAGGTGGGTTTCACCAGTAACATGAAAAATCGCTATAAAAAACATTAAATGGCTATTGCTTTAAAAATGTATCAGCCAT